ATTCTGCTAGTAGTACAACTGCCTTTTGCAATGATTGGAAATAATACGCCTCTCACTGCTTCAGGTATAAGATATATCTGTTACATATATTCACATGTAGTCAGAGCTGTTGGTTGCTGTGAATGTTATCTCTAGCCTGTAGTCTAATTATTTTTTTTTTTGCCTAGGTAAATTGACATTTGGAAACTAGCTACTTTTACGACATGTTTTGTTTTAAAGCAAACATTCTACAGCATTATAAATGAACATACTTTAGTAAATAGATATATATGCCTACAGTAAAACAGTCATAACTTGATTTTAATTAAGCCTGTTATTAATATTTAATTTTTTTAAATTTGCACAATCTTCTTTAAAATTTGATTATTTAATTCTATTTCAAAAACCTACCACAACCAAAAAAAAAATCATACAAATTTCTGAATTCTCAATTTTAGACGAATTATCTTTAAATTTAATTCAAAGATTGTAAGCAAAAACTTTACATGGCCTGCTCTTATTTTTTAACCCAATGACCAAAATTTACCTTTTAAAAAAAAAATTAATGAAAATATCATTGAAAAATACAAGTGCACCTTCTGCACAAAACCACATACAAACAGAGTAATTCTAAATGTTTAATTTGCATAAAAAACTTAATCATTTAAGACTTAATTATCATTCTCCAACACACATACGTGACCAATGACGCCTTCAGTATTTACATGAAAGCCAATTCAAAACATTTAAATTATAAACAAAGTATTAACTGAAAGATTTCCTAAGAAAATAAAACAAAATCTTTAACCACACTCCTTTTGAAAATATGGAAAATACAGCATGGATTACGTATGAATTATTAATGCTAATCACGGATAACAAGTCATTTTTTTTGGTACTCCATCTTCCTGGTGAGGTGTTTAAGTAAGGCAGTAATTATGCTATAAATGTGCATTTAATGATATCGTGTTAGGGTAAGGAGAATGCTGACATTTTGTATCAGAAATCGGTAACTTGGACATCATAACACTATATTTAATCTATTCTTTTTTACTTAGACTCATTTGAATTCATTGTCATGCAAACACATTGATAAGGAAAGAGAGGAAAAATGCCTAGTCATTGACGTTCCAAAGCATTTTGTTATTTACAGCTTTTTTTTTTTTTTTAAATTTAATTAACATCGTTTTCTCTGGAGAATAAAACATTTACGTGACTTGTCAGTTGGACAACAGCCATGTTCATCAAGTACAAAATTCTTGATGACAACGTTTCCTTTAGAGAGAAAATAAAACACATTGCAAGTAAGAACAAGCAATAAGCAAACTTCAAGGGATAAATTATCAATACAAATGTTAGAGATTATTGACTTGGCAAAAAATTATGCATATTAGTTACCGGTATACAAAGATAAATGCCATCTAAATATCACTTAATATCATATTTCATCTTTTTGCATGTGATCATTAATTTTAAATGAAGAACATGAAAAATGATTTACAGAATTATTCAGTTGCATCATATATATTCTTTTTGATGTTATTTATTAAATATGATTTTTTTTTATTACAGCAGTAGTGCATAAATATTTAATATACCAAAATTGCAAGGGGTTATTTAACAGAAAATTGAGCATATTGCAAATACTTATACTTACCAATAATATAATCATTATAAAACATAAACAGCAATTTTTTTTTAGATTTAAACTTTACAATAAAAGTAATATATATATTTTTTTCATTCAACAACATTTTCTCAATTTCGTGGGAAAGGGCTTACAAGTTCAAGAACTGGTAGTTTTCTCATAAATCACCAAACATTAAAATCCAATTAATATGCACATCTCTGATATATGTACTATACAACTAATCTCCAAATTAAAAAAAGCTCTAATCTTGAAAATGGTATGTATTGAACAGTTATTTAGACAAATGATGTACCCTTTTGGCAGCCACCCATCCACCATTTTAATGACCTGATTTTTTCATACCCAGTTAAAAAATAAAATTTGTACAAAAAAGGTTATACAGTGTACATATACTAGTAATCAAATGAAATCATTAACAATAATCTTCATGATACTGTTTTCCTTTTTTCATCAAAGGTAAAAAAAAAAATTGAAGAGCATGGACAAGAATGGGACGTACTGCATTTAAATACTGAAATAAAATGAATTTCAATTTTCTTTGTTACCAAAATATGAATTTAAATCTTCTGGTAAATGCTCCAGGTGTTTAAAAATTTACTTCAATTATAATACTGTTCGTGTGGTATATATTTCTGTTTTCAAAAAATTTAAATTCATTTGAATATACATGTACCAATTTGATAATCAAAAGTTTTTAAACATGTTAAAAGATGTTCAACTTTCTTCAAAATGCAGCTTTATTAATTGGAAAGGAGTAGGATGGGAGAGCACACCCAAGTGGACTGGCCTCTTTATATAAATGGAGAATGAGGATGGGTTCCTCCATTATTCTACACAGTTCTAAGGAAAGTATTTTTTGGAAATACAAGATACAAGATATTTTATTTACCAATCAAGGGCCCCGAGAGGCATTTCCACATATATAAATGCACGATTTAAACATAATTCACAATATACATTGTTTTTATATAAATAAATATATATATAAACTGTTACATAAACAGTTATATAACATTGTATTCAGCGTTAATAATCATAGACAATACCAGTCTCAAGTGTCCAAATTAGTACATGTATCTGATCATTGATTTTAAAAAAATCTGTTGTTCAAAGTTCATCTAATGAGATAAATTACATTACCCTAATACTATCTGCAATACTCAGACTTGAAAAATACATGCATTCACATAATGCAACATTTTAAGACTGACAGGTCATTTAAATTATTCCAATAAGGATTTTTTTTTTGATGCACTTTTTGATCCTTGTTTCAATAAACTGCCATACAAGACACCAACCAGAGTAAACTACTACCTTTTTCTACAACTTCACTAGTTGGACTAGTTCCCAAAAATCTGCTAGATCTGTCCAAAACTTTTTTTACTATCCTAAATTATGCCCTCAAACATGTACCCCATCATGTGTGATGTTAGCTGCAGAAATGTAGCTGTCTGGTTGAGAAAATTCAGACATACAAACCAGAGAGCTACAGATCCAAGAATTGTAAAAACCTTTTTTGGTTGCTCACTTCCGATACTGGTACTTGTATTATACGTATTCTCCCACCAAAAGCATGTTATCCATTATTTAACTATATATTTTACTCATAATCTTGTTTCTTTATTTACCTTTCAACTATGATCCTTGAGAAAATAAACCACTTATTCTGTTTGATACTGACTGTCTACAGAAATATATCCATTTGATTAATCTCACATATGGCTCAGGCTCAGCTCTACCTTGCTATCTTGGAGATTGATCAATCTAATATATTTAGGTAGACAGTCAGTAACACATGTAATAAGTACTAACAAGAACAGAGAGGCGCCCATAGCATAGCAAGCTCTATAGACTAAAAAGTAAGAACAGAGGAAATTTGAATTGGAATCTACACATAGTTCAAAGAAATTTTTATGAGTCCATGTGAAAACATTCTGAACTCCCAATATTTCTTTGTGGTTCATAGCAACACGGTGGCTTAAGCATAGCAACAACTTACTTGAAAAAAAATTATAAACAATGATTAAATGCAATTTCTTTGCCACAAAACTATCATTTGCTTCCTCTCTAAACATGACTTTGCATGTGACGTCATATTTTTTTATATAAATTTCGATAAGTTCGAAAAATCGATCCAAAGTTTGAGAATATTTCTATTAATCATAAATATTGTTTTTAAAAAGATAAACTTACGATATGCAGTAAATGCAGGCTATAGGCTGTAACATCATTAGAAGCATGCAAAATGACATTTGAGAGATGTTAAATTCATTATTATTAAAATTAAACTGAGCTGTACTTGCCCCAATATTTTCACCATCATACATATTATTGTTGGCCTTGAACAAAGGTTTTTCTTCAAAGTTTCAAGGTGTTTCAAAGCACCAATCAGTTGATGTACGAAACTTCTTTGATTTGGATAGTTAATTCACACTTTTCAAAAGTTATGTCCCTTGGCAGCTATCACAGTGGCCATTGTAGTTTTCTGTTTTGCAACTTTGTCATTTGGCTGGAAAAAAATCTTTGCATCTTGTATATTGACTGCCCCAGGATGGGGCTACCCATACGTTGAATGAAAAATATTTAAACACAGTGCAGGGTTCGAAATTCACTATATACAACTCGCAAAATGCGAGTTAGAAAATCCAAATTGCCAGTTAAAAATTTTGTAACTCGCAAAAAATTTGCGAGTTGACTTATTCTTTGTAAACTTCACCTGGGAAAAAAAAATCTGTTTCAACCCTATTTTAGTCTTTCTCTCTTTAGTTACTGTTTTAAATGAACTAGCATGCTCCATGTCCGATTATAATGTCAAAAATTACGATTTTTTTTAAAAGATGGATAGACAGCTGTTTATTTTTAAAAAGCTTTCATTTTAAAATTGCGAGTTGTCCTTTGAAATTGCGAGTTCATTTTTTTGGTACTCGCAATTATTTGCGAGTTGTAATTTTAGGGAGTTTCTACCCCTGCAGTGGATTTACCAGAGCACATCAAAAGGAGAAATGTCATTTCTTTTCCCTTTTTCCCATTTGGTTGACCCCACAAAGGGACACAACTTTTGCAAAGTGTGGATTGGACTATATTGTGTAATACTTAATGATATTTCGTGGGATAAATTTAAGTGCCTAACTGTTTGCAACGTAAAATTCATGTAAATGGTATATATGCAGAAAACTGATTTTAAATAATTCAATCAAATTGCCCTGAATAGCTAAGCAAACATATATATTATAGCTAATATTCAAGCAACATACATTGAGCCTCATTTGTCAAGTCAGAGGATTATATATCATTGGTTAAATAAGAAGTTTTAAGCCCATTATACGTCCATTAACTGTCAATATTACAAGATCTTAAGAGAGATACTCACATGTTCATCTCCTTAAGCCTGGAGTTAAGCTATTACGGCTAAAATTCAATCTAAATATTCTTACAACATAACAATCTTTCATTTTGTCCCAATTTCTTAGACCGGAAGTCCTTTAAAGTTAACTTGTTCATATCATTTTCGTTATCCAGAAAACATTGTTATGCTGCTGTCAAAATTGTTAACAAATGGGGCGATGTATTCAGAAATTAATGCTTAAATACACTGAAAGATTGCACTTTATGATTAAAGATTAATTAAGGGAAAAAAATAGTTTTGGAAAAGGTGTCTATTTTAAACGAACGACCTACTACTGAACTGGTGCTCTCTTCGCAGGCGACCAGTTTTATTTAATTGCAAGCAGAAACTGTCTTACTGAGTAAGATGGAAATTGAGGACACCAATGCTTACGGTACAAATGATATGCATGATTGTATCAAAATTATCTTTTTTGCGTTCAACCTTATCGAAATTTTCAAAGAAATTGATAACGAAATGAGAGCCTATATAGGTCTAGGTCCCTGACATGATAGAATGTTCTATCGTTAAAATGATAAATGTCCTACGGACCCGGTGGTGAGGGCCTGTCCCGAGACACAGTTAGATTATTCTAACTAAGGTCCCTGATGAAATTTAAAAATAAAATACATTCTTGTGGGATTTTATTAGGCAAAGATTGCTAATAGTATTATATTATGCTTATGGAATTTTAAAAGCTTAAAGAAAGGCATTAATTAAATGCCTAAATGAACAATGACAACTTCAGAATTGCAAATGAATGCAGTCCACAATATCCATAATGTTCATCGTGTTCATAGTCAATTTCTGAATTTATGTGTGTATGGAGATGATGATATGTACACAGTACAGGTAACAGTGAACTCGGATCTTGATTAAACCCTTCTCTCTACACTGTTCTGACTGCGACAATGTTTACACCATAGCGGGGTCAGTTATGTTATTCTGCAGTGCAGCATGATGTTAGTACCTGTAAATAGTTGTTGATATTCAGGTTTAATGGATGGTTTTGAAAAATGTTACAGTATGCAATTATGGAGTCTCTTGGTGGTCAATATGGTTTGATATTCACCAGAAAAATATTGATATTGTAATTTTCTGGTGAATAACAAACCATAAGATGTTGACAGTGCCGTTAGAGCGAGCGCAGATACCTATTCAGTTTCAAGTTTGATCCTCCTCTTCAAACCGCATGAGACATTTGGAACATCTAGACTGTGATGTTATTACTTGTATATTAGTTCCATTACCAAAACAAAGTCTGAAAACTGCAAATTTTAATAGGGTGTGCGATTTTATCGGTATATCAGTTTATCATGATTTTTTTATTACGCGATATGTATTGTGATATGGAGACTAAAACACCGGTATTCAGTATGTAACTATTAGTTCCAGAAATAATTAATTATTTTGTTCCAACTCTAGAATTAGTAAAACAACAGCATCCTAACCTATAAACATGCTTTATTAGTATATAAATAAAAATGAAAATGAAGTTATGTTTTCTCACTATATTTGTTAGGAAAAAAACACAGAAATTCATTTAAAATCATAGTAAAAATTAGGTGTAAAAATTGAAGTTCTGTTTTCACACTGTATTTGTTAGGAAAAAAAAAACAACACAGAAAGAAGAAGGTATGGTTTTAGCCTTATTGTGCCCTAAAAATTTAGTGTTTTCAAAACATTATGAAACTGGCTAAAATATTAGTTGAGAAAATGACTGTAATAAATCAGGAAAGAATGTGGCATGATCGAGTACCATTCTGGAAATATGACGTCATTAATTTGATGCATTTCTCTACTTTGAACAGAAAAAGCCTCAAAATGACCCATTTCAAGGGTAATTTTCCTTAAGAAAATAGTGTCCACGGCCGTCGCCCACATCAATTTTCGGATATGTTGCGTACAATTCTTTGAAAAATCACATATCTCAAAATCTTTGTGGGCGATGCCTGTGGACAATATTATCTGAAAGAAAATTCCATGGAAAATTGGTGTCTTCTGCAACTTTTTAAGAAAATACGGGAAAATGCACAAGTTTATGACGTCACAATTAGCACTTAGAAGGTCATGTGAGAAAAAAGTTTTGTATGATCTTTCTGCATGGAATTTCAATAATTCAGAAAGCATGCGATTTAATTTTTTTACATCACTTTCATTTTTAAGAAAAACACAGGGCAAAATTTGTATTGAAACTGTACCTTGTTCTTCATTTAAAATCAAATAAAAATTAGGTGTAAAAATATTGTGATATTTATTGTGATATTTTTTGGGGGGAAAAAAATTGTGATATATTGCAATACGAAATTTTTGGCGATACCTATCCCTAAATTTTAATAAAGAACATTGAATCAACTAATTTATCTGCAATATAAATTAAATCAAGGTGAGTTTATTATTTGGTGAACTTTTGTTGTTACATACTTAGCAGTGAGATGCATTCGCGTTGCATTGTGGGTCCAGAGGTTACTCTGGGAAAAAATTGTTTGGATCATTGTGCTTAGTCTGAATTTTCTCTTCCCCCAGGTGTTGCTTAAGAGCTCACAGTGTGAGCCACCGAAAGAGTCCATAATTGTTTTATTATATAGTCCAGTATTGAATAAATAAGACTCTGAAAGCTACATAATGACATTTTTTTCAAGAACTTCTGTGGCAGAAAGATTTTGTATATGTCCAGATTACAAGTGAAAACCTGCATGTTTCCATTTCATAGTGTTGAAAACATCATTTCCCAAAGAAATATTTAGAAATACTTGTAATCCAATGATGGCTACCCTTATATTTTTCCTCCTCAGATGCACAGCTGATTCCTTTTGTAACAGCCATTTTTTACAAAGTCATTGAGGTGTCATTTGGGAGGACACAATCACTGCTTACACACAGTGACTCTCCAGTGAATACTGCTTCAAATCCAGTTGATATGTAGATTTATGAATCATTTGTATAGATTACATAAGTACTTTAAATAGACTATATAATAATAAACTAAATAAAGTATATTGCCTACATTTATATAACAAATATCATATATTTGTTTATTTACTGGTAATGCATGAAAAGATGTGAAATCATGGTATGAACTATGAAATCCACACAATGTACCACACGAAATCACTTCTTGCTTGAATCAGCACTTAATATTAATCCTGGTGAATCTATTGAAGGTAAACTTTTTAAATGTTTTCAACTTCTCCAGAACTAATTTCAACCAAACTTGCCACAAAGCAGCCATGGGTAAAGGGATTCCGATTTGTTCAAATTAAGATTCACACCCTCTTTCAAGGAAAGATAGTTAAGAATTTAAAAATTTGATGGCATTATCCAAATTATCCAAGCTGTTAAAATTTGACTGAAGTTCAGATTTTGTATTACAAGGGAATACATATGAACAAATCAATTTTAAAAGTAAAAGGGTCACACTGAATAATATTATTAATCATATGCAAACATTCCTAAGTAATGCTGACCTTTATTTTTAATTATGGACACAGGGATTAGGGTGTGGAAAAATCTTTTTAAATGCTCTTTTCCAAGGAGTATATAGCAGGGTCATATAACTGAAATTGAAATTGAAGCAACCTAATTTGTGAATTCAAGTTCATTTAAATCAGTCAAATCCACAGGTCCGGGGTCAGTAAAATTGGCTGGGGGCAGGTAAAGTTGAAAATCAAAAAAGTCTGATGGGCCTGCAGGACTTTTTAAGGCCCTAGTTTTAAAGCTAAAAAGCATGTATTTTCCCCAAATTTTTGCTTTAAAATTCCCAACCAATTAATAAAAAATAAAGCTGTATTGCATTGGTCATAAATCTCCTTCACCTGATACATTTAGCAGTACTTAGGGACTTAATTATTCCTAAGAACGATTGTCTTTTTTCCTATTCTGAATTTCGTCCATTCCTTCTGTTTGTGTAAAATATATGAATTGTATATATGGCATTATATTGTTTCCAATAGGATCTTGTGTCATTTCCTTTAAATTAGTCAATAAACCACAGTAGCATGTGTTAGGTACTGAATATCTTGGTAGCTCTTCTCTGCATGGTTACAAAAAAAGTAGATGAAATAAAATAGTTTGTTTCTTTTGTTACAGATAAGATAGTGGATGGATGGGAAAGAACAGAGACAGACAACGGAGTTCCCTATTACATATGGTAAGTTTTAGTGAAAAGATCACATAGAAACACTGATGACACATTTTGTAATGCACAAATACTAAGCAAAATGAAGTACCGGTACATATCTGTATTTATAGAATTGTTGTCTACTAGTGGAATATGTTTTCATATGGCAAGTTGGCAACCCTTTGTGAAAGTTTTGGAGATTTGAAAATGCCATTTCTACAATTAGGAGTTCAAATAATAAATTCTTTAAAAATGATACCCCTGGGGTGACTTCATTATTTACATACATAATTTTAAAATCAATGTCATATTTCCAGAGCGTAAACACCATTGAAGATTTATACATGTATACATATTTCATGGGAAGTCCCCACTTTCTCTGGCGTCATAAACCTATCCCTTTGGTTTCTCCCACCTACCAGTAGTTTCATTCATGGCAATCCTTGATAAAAGTTAAGGAGATTTAAAAATACTATTGCTTGGATTAGAAGTTCAAATGATAAAATCAAATTCTACTAAAGGCTAGCTCTTCCTATATGATAAATAATATATTCTTTGATGCTGGAAAGGGAATCAGATAAATTGTTGAATCTGAGATCAATGAAGTCTAATGATACACTGTGTGGGAAGATTTGTTTTCAACTTCTTTTGCCAAAGATAACTTAAGTAGGTATAGGAAATGTACATGTCTGATATCCTTTTGTTGTTTTTAGATGAACTTTTCTTATTGGATTGAAAATTAAAATAGCTCAGAGAACAAAATTATTTTTTTTCTCGGACTTGCTGCCATGGCTGAAACTTAACTATCTCTTTCTCCTTTCAGCCACAAGACGGAGCGTACATCATGGAACCATCCATTCTATCAGAAGATGATAGAGGAATTAGGTATTTTATATGTATTTCTGATCTGTTTGTACTTGTAAACAACAGTATAGACAGTAAAATCAAGCTTGAAAACTTGATTTCACCCAGCAATATTTGGGAAGGGGGTTGTGATGTGTCTTGATCCCTGAGAAAGGAAATCTGTACAAGATCAAGGTCACAGGGATTGGAGTCATAGAATTCTTGTAATGGCTGTAATATTGTAAAGAAAAATCTGTGGAGGGTGATACTTCACCAGAGGTTGCTCAATGGATGTGCCATAGCCCCAAAGATCATTTGTAAAATACTTGTTTAAGCCAAACACTTTGTGATGCAGGAATTGAGAAATTCATGCTTAACTCAAAAATTGCTTGTGACAAACATTATGTTTCGATCATTATACAAGTTTTTATGACATGGTCAAGGTTACAGCTGGGTAATCAAGTTTTTATTTGCTGTGGAGGGACAGTGTTATTCCCATTAGGTCATATCCTCTGCTCATGGGTACATGTGTTGACTGGATTTGTGATTAAAGCTGGAGGGAACGATTTCTGCAATTACAGAATGACCAGAACCCCACCATCAAGTTTAACATTGCATAAATACATTAGTATTTGAAGATTGTGTATTGCTTTAAATTTAATTTTCATGTGACTTGTTTCAGATGAATACAGAGATATCAGATATGCAGCATACAGAACTGCCTTCAAGATACGCCACATACAAAAACAATTGAAATGTAATTAGTTTTAATTTATGTATACAAATATTCAGACTATTCAATTTAGCTTAACATATTCTAAATTAGTAAAAATTTAATGAAATATCATTTTGTGAACATTGCAGTGCACCATGTAAAACTTGAAGCTATGAAGGAAATGTTTGATTGTCATGGTTACCGTGAGAGTTGTGACATGGTGATTGGCTGTGAGGAGTTACAGGAACTATTGACCAGTGTATATCAGACCGCTGACCAGGCGGCCAACATCACCATACAACAGGCTGAAGTGTACGCCCAGCTGCTTCAGAACCTCATCCTTAATCTTTTTGACATGTAAGTATACAACACCATTTTATGCCCCGCCATGAATATGGCCGGGGCATATAGTGTTTGTCATGTCCGTCTTCCGTCCTTCCGTCTGTCCTTCCGTCACACTTTGCGTTTAGCTCTGTTCAAAGCTCAGTTTCAAAGAAACTATCCAAGATATTTTTATCAAACTTCATATGCTGATAGATATTGATGAGAGCTATGCAACTGCATCAACATTTTTTGACCTTGACCTTTCCTTTGACATTGACCTCACTTTTCTTAAATTAGTGTTTAGCTCAGTTTTAAAGATACCATTCAAGATAGTGTAATCAAACTTCATATGTTGATACATACTGATGTAAGCTATTCAACTGCATCAACATTTTTTGACTTGACCTTTCTTTTGACCTTGACCTCACTTTTCTTAAATTAGTATTTAGCGCAGTTTTAAAGATACCATTCAAGATAGTTTAATCAAACTTCATATGTTGATACATACTGATGTAAGCTATTCAACTGCATCAACATTTTTTTACCTTGACCTTTCTTTTGACCTTGACCTCACTTTTCTTTAATTAGTGTTTAGCTCAGTTTTAATGAAACCATTCAAGATATTTTTAACAAACTTCATATGCTGATACATACTGATGAGAGCTATTCAACTGCATCAATATTTTTCACCTTGACCTTTCGTTTGACCTTGACCTCACTTTTCTTAAATAAGTTTTTAGCTCAGTTTTAAAGATACCATTCAAGGAAGTGTTATCAAACTTCATATGCTGATACATACTGATGAGAGCTATTCAACTGCATCAATATTTTTTGACCTTGACCTTTCTTTTGACCTTGACCTCACTTTTCTTAAATTAGTGTTTAGCTGAGTTTTAAAGAAACCATTCATAATATTTTTATCAAACTTCATATGCTAATACATACTGATGTAACCTTTTCAATTGTATCAACAATTTTTTGACCTTGACCTTTCCTTTGACCTTGACCTCACTTTTCTTAAATTAGTGTCAAACTTCATATGCTGATACATACTGATGAGAGCTATTCAACTGCATCAATATTTTTTGACCTTGACCTTTCCTTTGACCTTGACCTCACTTTTCTTAAATTAGTGTTTAGCTCAGTTTTAAAGAAACCATTCATAATATTTTTATCAAACTTCATATGCTAATACATACTGATGTAACCTTTTCAATTGCATCAACAATTTTTGACCTTGACCTTTCCTTTGACCTTGACCTCACTTTTCTTAAATTAGTGTCAAACTTCATATGCTGATACATACTGATGTAAGCTATTCAACTGCATCAATATTTTTTGACCTTGACCTTTCCTTTGACCCTATATACACCCTCGACGGGGCATTCATGTCCTATGGACATATTTCTAGTGATAGATAACAGTGGATTTTTTTTTAAACTTAGTAGTTTCTGTTCCGTGATTTGTCTCTCAGTGTTAATTAATGTGTTATCTAATAATTTAGGTGTATAGAATGGAATATTTTTAACATTTATGTAGGGACAGAACAGGTTGTATAAGGGTTTGTTCAGTGAAGCAGGTCCTCATTGTGTTAACAACAGCTCGCCTGGCAGACAAATATCGAGGTAAGAATATACTTATTATGTTCTATATTACTTTAAATTTCAATGAGAGGACAGATACTGTTAAGATTAGGATATCAAACATTTGAATATTGTTCCCTTTATTTTCTCTGAGCTAGCCCTGTACCAGGAGTTGGCTGATCCTAGTACTTACATCAGCTGTAGTAATCTGACCACTTTTCTGCAGGATCTTAGTCAGGTAGGGTGCAGTAAAAATCAACTTTGTTCAGAAAACTTTTAGAGAGTAAGAAGTTAATTTGATTGTCAGTAATAAATGCTGAAAATGGAGAAATTTTTCATTGTGAACTACAAGTGTACTATTGAGTTTACTGGGTAATAAACTAATTAAAATGTATTTCAAAACAGTTACCAGACCTATTGCAAGAAGGAGCAATTTTTAGTGGGGATGTCACAGGAACAGTCAATAGTTGTATCAATATGGTAAGTTGATATAAGTTACTACTACTTGTGTGTATATTTTTTAATATTCTTCCACACCAAAAAGATTCAAGGATTCCAGTGCAAAAGGAATATCCTTTAGCATGTGTTGTGCATGCAGTACATAAAATGTACTGAACCAGCACAGTGCTTAAATGGAGATCCATTTGTAAATGAGTAAATCGTATTTGTTGATAGGCAGACAGTAGTGTGGGGATCTCCGAAGATCAGTTCTATTCCTGGCTGTTGAAAGAACCCCAGATCCTTGTGTGGCTTCCTACCTTTCATAGGCTGGCAGCATCTGAGACAGGTAAACAAATACCTCATACATCAAGGGAGATAATGTGGAGAGTGTGATAGAAAAATATTTCAATGAGACTGATAAAAAAAAAAAGTTTTGAAAATGTAGTGAAATAGTTTTATTTATTTCTTTACAGTTAAACATGAGTCAAAGTGTAACATCTGTAAATCCTACCCAATTGTAGGATTCAGGTAAGAAAAAGACTCTGAAATGTTTGATAATAAAGCAAACCAAAAGTGAACTAACTTTTCTTATTATGTAAGTAAAGTTAATGTTGTGTGTACTTTTTCTAGGTATCGCTGTCTTCAGTGTTTTAACTTTGACATGTGTCAGCAATGTTTTTACATGGGATGCACCAAGAAGAAACACAAGCTAAAACATCCAATACAGGAGTATTGTTTGTCTGTAAGTTTATTATTCAAGAATATTGTCTGTTTATAATTGTTATCCAAACAATAATACATGTATCTACTGTTACATTCCTGTTGTTTATTTAAGAATTTTCATGCTCGCTTTATAGTGGGAGTTTAAATTGCATTAGTTAGATTACATCCTATAAAGTCATAAATTTTCCTAAAAAATAATATTGATTATGTGTATGTAAATCATTGTAATTATCATGATAGACAACAGCAAAAGTGGACACCAAAGCTTTTCTGAAGACTTTACGCAACAATATAAGTAAGAAACACAGACAGAAGTCAAAGAGAAAGTATCTTCCTGTTGTTGCAGAGAGTCATTTGTTCTCTCACACAACGTAAGTTCTTTTTTATTTTCTCTGAAGATTATGAAAGCTTTGTTGCTTAATACTATAAACAACTTAATACTATAAACCACTTAATACTATAAACCGACTCTCAAGATGGCATTTATATTATTATTGATAAGAGAAAATTGAAATATGTTAAATCTTGCTGAAGAAGATTCCTTATCTCAGAATTGTTCTTTCACCAAAAAGCATAAAAATAATGAGATGAACTGATTACAGTGGGATGAGAATAGAGCCACCAGCCCCAGATATTCATAACACACTGACTCAGAAATCTCAGCAGTTGGCAGAGACTGAATCTCATCAAAGAGGGCATACTAACCAAGAGGCACTCAATCAACAAGAGCATTTACAGAAAATCATTGAACAATTACAGGAGGAAAATAGGTGATTTGATGTTTTATGGTATTGGTCAAAAATCCACCCGAAAAATAACCTATTCTATGCAGTTGATATCAACAGAGAGTAAAACCATCATTTCTCAGTTTTTTTAATCGAAAAATGATGGTGTAGAGTAAAAGAGGTGAAGTAAAAGAGATGAAAAGAAAATGTTGATTGAGCAGTGGTTCATTTTGATGTAATTCATTTACATTAAAGTTGCTTAAATATCTGTAATCGATTTAATATCAGCATAATAAACATGAACTTCAAACTTTTCAGGAGACTTCAAGAAAAGATAATGACAATGAAGGAATCCTCTGATACAGAGAGTAATGTGAGTGGTGGATCCAGACCTATGACTGGTGTGTCACCAGGAGCTACTCCTCACCATTACAAGGTGAAATTATCACATTATGTAATCTTGAAATATTGCAAAAGGATATTGCAAAATTTGTTCATCAATACCACAGATGCCATAGATATTCAAGAACTGTGTCTGAACGTTCGTGTGGGTTAAGTCTAAATTCAGATTTTGTTAACTTTCACAGATATACATGTATCTGACATACTCTGCAATACAAAATGAACTCCACAGACATAAAAAATGTTTTTACTTTACTACACTGTATACCTCTCTTTGGAACAGAAGAATGGTTTATTGGACACAGACATTCAGTGAATGTAACATTATACAACATATACTACAATTTCTCAGTGTATAATGTATCTTTCAACTTTTGTCTGTCTGTAAACAATTTTTCAAAATGGTCATCTTCATGCTAGAAAATATTCTTCTTAAGGATAGAAAGCTATTATTAGTCATATACTGTCCATGTACAAACATCTCCATGTAGTAAAAATTCAAAGGCCTATTGTGGGGCCACATTATGGGGTCAGATTTTGACATTGAGATAAACATAAAACAGGTTATAAAAATCTCTAGAACAAAAGGTTTACAATTGGTCAAATTGTTATCTAATTATTCCCAAGTAGTGAAGACTCAGGTTTATTCAGATGTGATTCCTGGGGCTAGGTAGTTCCACAGTTGGGGGGGGGGGGTTCAAATTTTTACTTGGTGCACAGAAAATGTATAAAACTTCAGCTAGTACAACAAGGTTACAATTTGTAAGCCTGATTTCAAGTCTCAATATTTTTATTTAAATAGCTGAAATCAGACTTTAATAAGTTGTTGACAAGTAGAAGAGGTTTCATTTATCTAATATTTATGTCAGAAAGGTAAAATGATTTAGGTGTGTGTGATGGACCTTGGACCCCTTCTTACTTTTCACTGACAATTCACAATTTTAAAATCATACATGCACTAATCCTCAAGCCAAAACCAGAAGAACCAAAGTCTAATCATAAACTTTGGTTTATTTCAGAAACAGTCGTCATCCAAGGTGGGAAATTCTAATCAGCCTCTGAGCCCAATAGTCCATATACAGAGCCCTGACCCAGACACCCCCTACAACAGGGGTCCTCAGTATGATAGCCTGGACTTCCTTGAGGTCAGTCCCTCCCACTTCACCCTCCCCTCTCTCACCAACAGCAGGGAGTGTCTGGATGAGGAGGAAGCTATGGATGATCTTGTCAACAAAATGCAGCTTGTATTCCCAAGCAATATGTCATATTCAGGTAAACGCAAGATTTATTGAGGTAGAAGATTATTGCAAATGCATGCTTCATGGGAATAGGGCCAAACATTTAACATTTTTTCAAAGCTCTTTAATTCTGAGCAAACAAGAGAACAGTTTGTATGGTTCCGAACATGCTTTTTTAACATGAAATTACAAGTTGGGAAAACATGATCCAGAGCCCTTTGAAGTATTCTAACTTCATATTAAACAAAAGAAAGACTAATTCTTCATGTACTGTATCATAGCACTTTTAAGTTTATGGTTCTGAAGTTTGCAGTAATTTCCTCACTTTTTGAATGATTAATGAAGATAGGGTTTCCTTGCTTCTTAATATCTCGTGTGTTTAATTTCACAGTGTACTCTCTATCAAAGTGTGGTGTGGAACAAGATGAAATGCTTCAGGCAGCTTCCACCATCGGCAATGCTATGACTGAATTTGTGAGTGAAGCTATCATGCCCCACAGCAAGTAACTGAGGAGTTGGTTTTGTACTCAAGCACACAAATACATGTACTATTGAAATCCAGAAAAATCCAAGCGGTCATTGGAAAGGTTCATGTGCACAAGGCAGCCTATAAAAAGTGCCAAAATGATAATCTGTTGCCAGAAATCCTGCCATATTTGTTGTAGAATAGATGATATATGTGATTTAGCACTTATTCGTACATGGGGGTGATATACATGTATTTTATCAGTTGTTTTTATGAAATTTCTCATTTGTATGTGCAATAAATGCTTGTATGGGGGCCAACTCCTCATTTTGAATTTTTAATTCTATGCAATTTAATGTCTTGCCAATTTATGTGTTGTTTTATTTTATACAATTTTGCATGTTTGTGTTAAAATTTTTTTTAGAAACCTCTTACTTGATATTTGTATGTATATTTGTCATCAATTTTATGCAGTTATTGTAGAAATAAATCAATTTACAAGCAAGGCATGAATGGGATTTTATACATTCCATATTTAGATTAGCTGAGTCACTTGGGTGACCTATTGCTGTTTTCAGCCATCATGGTTTGTAAACTTTCAAACATTTTCAGCTTTTTCTGATCTGAATTAACTGGACCATTTTCAACCAATGTTAAGGATACACCAAAGGCTTTTTTCAAGATTTTCAACAATTTTGAGATTTTTGGCTAAGAAAAAGAATTTAATCACTGCTTTATAATGCATGCAAAATTCTGGGTAATTATGAAATGGTTTTCTAATTATTTAACAATAGTTCAATACAAAAAAGTTGATTTATAAAATATTTATGCACTAAAATTTACATTAATATTTAAATAATTTTTAAATAAGTTATTAATTAAAGTTTAAATTAGGATAATTAAATTGTAAATTTTACAAGCTTTCAAATGATATGTACTTTTATTATGTTATCTTTGATAATGAAAGAATTACATGCAAATGAAATTCTGGCATTTGGAAACCTTTGGTGTATCCTTAACATCTATAGACAAAGAAAGGAAAATGTTTAAACTTCCTGGCCCTGGTCCCACAGAGACCTGGGGGTGGACGAAAAGCATTAAAACATTAAAATTCGTGCAATTTTTAAAAATCTTCTTCACTGTGGTCATCTATCGGGTAAACTGCATGAACGAGTAAATGAAGCATATATCCCCTATTTCAATGGTAAAATTAATGGCCCAGGGTCTAGGATCCAGGGTGGGGCTAAATTGGACATATATTGAAAACTCTTTACAATTGGATTGTAAAGATAAGATTGGATTGAGGTTGAGCCAAATATTTGCTAAACTGACTAGTTACCATTTCAACTTCTCATGAGCTACTCATTAAATCAATAAATCTAAACCAGACCTGTCTTTGTGAAAGGGGGATTTGAGCTTAGTTAAAAAAAAAAGGTTAAACCCTTTTGCAACGGAATAATTTAGAAACTGTGGAAAAAAAGTGTGGAATCATTTAATGAATAATATATGAAAGCTTTTAAAAAGATTTTTCTCAGAAATCAGTTGAAATAGTGTCAATTTTAATGATCAAGCATCCTCATGAATAGTGTCTGCTAAAGTTTGTTAAACGCCTTGCCCTGTGATGCGATATTTTGCCTCATGTTTTTATATGAGGATACATTATAAATATGACATATGCGAACTCCCGAAGTGGGGGGGGGGGGGGGGCATCCACTCAAAATAAAAAATCAAACTCGGAAATAGAGGGAAAAAAAATTGTCCAACCCTGGGGGAGAGGGTAGTACCTGTCTCAATAAAGTTTCTGCATAGACATTTTAATGAATACATGTACTGGAATTCGGAATTCAACTCTGAACATAACCCTTTTCTATATGTCAAGGAAAAATCTCTGCATAGCCCTATTTTAAATTGTACCTCAACATATTTTCATGAATAAGTTGAAGCGGCCGATTTATTTGTGGTTTTGTTAGAAAGTACATATGGGGAAATGAGACGTTATTTCTTTATTAGTTCGTTAAATAACATGTATAAAAGTTATGAAATATTTTTTACGTATACTAAATCTTAATTGTTGTTAATATATCATTTCTCATCAGATAATTATTATGATTTTATAAAAAGCTGTATACAATAGGTACTCCCCAAGTGGGTAAGATATGGACGCAATTCATTATTATTTTCTGCATAATAAATTCTAAAGTGGATAAAAATTGAAAAGTTTGTAAAACTAGTAAAAATTGTCTAGAATATGCTACATCTGCGAATGACACTAACATAATTTCCCCCCCGCTACACTTTGCATTTATTGTGCTCTCCATCACATAGGGGTACGGTTTTTCGATGGCGTGTTTTGTGTATTGCTTGTTTTTCCAGTCTAAATATACTGATCAATAAAAAAAAATCGAAAACCGCTGCAATTCGCATTTTTAAAAAAGAAATCGTATTTCAATGTATATTATCATCACGTGACAAAGTTCCAGGGTATCAAAATAGGTCTACATCTTCATTTTAATTGATAACAATATATTTTTACTATTTATCACTGATTTTCGTAGAAATGAATCAATTTGATGAACAAATGCACTGAGATTTTTGCAATGCCCCCCCCCTCCTTTCAGCTTTTAATATTTTGCGTTTTCCTTGAATTCGAAACGTGTGGAATACCTTTAAAAATGCTGCATAAATTGTTTGCGGCCCATTTGATGCTTTGCATCAATTTTACTTGTTTATAGTTTGTGGTAAATGAATAATTGGTAAATAAAAGTACCGTTTTCACAAACTTGTTTTGAGAACTTTTTCATCTACATACTGATTCGCAATCTGTAAGACTAAGCCTTTTGCACGTGAATAATGTGATATGGAATATTACTGGTATTTTCCCCCTTCTGTAGAGTTCTTTGCTGTTTAGTATTAAGCCCCTCCCTCGAGTGGATTTAGATTGAAATATATTTCTACCAGGTGTCAGATGGTCTGGCAGTTGATCTTGTAAATTACGGTTATGTAATTTACATGCAGTAATTCACATGCTTCGACGTCCAATTGCAAAGACAGGAAATGATGAAGAAAGGAATGCGTCAGCTTTTTGGGTAAAGAAGGGTGATTGAGTGAAAAATGTGCATTAAATAGTCCTTAGTAAGAAGGATGTTTCAAAATTACAAATTATTTCTGGGTTTTGTTAAAATGTAATTTTTCAGTAATCACCTGGAAAATTAAGCACCCGGTAAGGTTTGTTCGAGAATAGCAGTTGCGGAAAACGAAATAACCCTTTCCGTACCCTTTGACACACATTAAAAGTTTGTTAGGTTACAATTTTCAAAACTTCCTGGCAGAAAAGATGGAAGAGAGCACAGATAAGTACATCATAGATATAGTCAAATCATTTGTCCTGGACAGAAAGTATGAAATGCTTGCTATCTTTATGGACAGTCTGGACGAGAAGAGAAAAGAAAGTTTGATGCAGTATGACGAATTTTGTCGGGCTCTGATCGCTTTCAACTTCGAAAAAAGGGAGTTCAAGAAAGTATACCATATTCTTGAAGTATGTTCATATTAATAAGCGTAAATAATTTATCAGAATCTGTTTAAAAAGAAAATTAAAAGATGGTATTTACACACAACGGACAAAGGTTTGTTACAGTGTAATGTAATGTATAAGAACTTTCTTTTTTTTTTCAACAGACGGGGAAATTTAAGGAGACAACAGATTTATTAGAAGTTTGGGATCAGGCTCATTACAGAGAACGGGAGCATGTCATTAACAAACCCCTCAACCCGCTGATGAGATTCAGGGTCCGCAAAAAGTATACGACCTAGCTTGATATAATTTTCAAAAATTAAAAAAGAACGTCATAAAAGACAATGATGATGATAATTGTTCACAAAATTTTAATTTTCATTGAAAAGATTTCTGGAATTTTAAATTCATGAGACTAAATGACCTTTGTAAAACTGTTTTCCATAAAAAAAAAAAAAAATTGGGGGGGGGGGGTGTTAAACGAGGCGTAATCATTATTGTTACTGATTTTGAAATTATTAATGGTTCTTAGGTACCCACCACCAAAAAATATCTGTCCCACTGGAGAGAGGCCTCAACACAAATTACCAGAGATAGCAAGGGAGACACTGAAAAACTGGTTTGCTCAACATGCTAACAACCCCTACCCCTCCAAGGCTCAGAGAGAGGACTTGTGCAAGGCTACTGGTCTTACAGACTATCAGGTAAAACATTAACCAAGAACCAGATTCATTAACCTTTATTTGGAATTGTTATTCTAATAATCTTAATGAAATAAATAATGCCCCTTTTTAGGTAAAATAAGCTGGAAGAATAATTCATCCTTGAATAAAAATTTATTACAAGTAGTTGCATGTATACCCAGTAGTAATACAATGCAGTATTAAGGCCTAGAAAATGAAATGAGTTATGGATTCAGATTTGAAATGCATAATATCTGCAATTGAGTCATCAAAAATGTTAAAATTAAATTAAGAAGATATCTTGCATGTGCTTAATATTGAATTTTATTTCACTTGTACAGTATTATTGTAAATTTTGAATTTACTGGGTATAGATAAATGCTGAATCTACATCAGGATAATTTATGTTGTAAATTTTGCCTTTATTTCCACCCAGTTACAACATGATAGTAGCTAGTATATAACATAAATTTTGACATAAAGGAATGGTTAATTGCATTTTTATTTTTGATACAGGTCAAAACTTGGTTTTCAAATGCAAGACGTAAAGTCAAACACAGCACTTTTGGAGGCAAGAAAGAACAGGCTAATGGTACAGCAAAGTATTCTGTGACAGATTCAGTGAAACCCCAGTTTTATTTAAATCCTAATGCTGCAACATCATTTGACACTGGTAAAGTATCATTAGACTCTTAAATAATTGTTCATGGTTATCTATATTAGAGTTGTTTTCTTCCTTACTGAACAAAGTATTGAAAATCTAAAACAATTCCTTTAACCGAGTTTTTTTTTTTTTTTTTAATGTGATGCAATATAACCTAAACCACGTCAGCAGATGTAATGATTACAAAGTATAAAGTATGCTAATTATTTTACTAAATTAAAGAAATATTAGTAACATATAACTCCTATATTTTTATGTTTAAGGAGAGAAATGGTGCAGTGAGTGGCAGGAATGGCAACAAAAAACCCTGGGAAACATTTCCCAGCCATATAATTATCAGAATACAAGCCTATCCTATGATATGAAATTCTGGCCTAGTGAAGATTATCAGTCACAGTGTTTTAAAGGTATGTAGTAATTGAAAACAATGTGACATTGTTGATGAGCAAAAATTATTAATGCACTGATCAAGTGTATTGATGATTCCTTTGGTATTTTCTTCTGTCTTCTAAAAAACAGGATCAATTTTTCAACCAAATTAAGCTATAAAGCTGTTTCCAAAGGGAGAAAATGAGGAAATGTGGAAAATAAATTGGTGTCATTGAAAATATTTATACAACAGCATGGCTATATAAATCACATATTAAAAGTATTTCATTGAGATAGTTAATTAGATTGTGGCTCAGTGAGATCAGACCTATTTTTCAAGGCTTGAATGCATGATATTGCACCTGTATTCTCATTTTAGAGTCAGTGTTTCCTGTAAATGTATCAAGCCAGTACATGGGAGAGCCAAAATATATATATGGGGATACCTTTTGTCAACCTTTGACCTACCAAACATCAGCAAACCAGTTTTGCAGACAGTGTTGTCTCAGGTACATTTAAAGACATATGTTTTCTTATGTGACAGTCAGACAGGTCTGTTTTCAGGGCAAAGTTAAAATTTTGGTCCAATGCTTCACTTTACCTCCCTTTTTGGTGTATTTGGTACCATGATCTTTGCATGATAGGTGAGAAACCTGCTAGGGATGAACCTGGTTTGTTGGGGACAATATTAAGGAGGAAGGAATGTGGTCAGACATTAGACCAACTAAAGTTCAGAGGGACTAGGTTAAATTCCTGATCTGGTCTTTTTGTATTTCATCCTTCCTATTATAGTCAGTGTGTCATGATCTGGCCATGTTACAGTTTTAAAAACTTGTATATATATTTTTTTGTTGGGGGGGGGGGGACATTTGAAAAGGGAGAAATGTCCCCCAGTGGACTGATAGCTTAGTTAGAAAGGTACTTGTTTGAATTATTCTTATTATGTTCCCCAAACGAAGTTTGGGAACATATTGTTTTTACTCTGTTTCTTATTATTATTATTCTTTTTTTCTTATTTCTTCTCCGGTACTTTTTGTTCCGCGAGTGCTCTCGGAAACTGCTCATCCAATTGAGTTAAAACCTTTTTAGGGTTAATAGGCATGTTGTGTAGATGTGCTCGTCAAAGGTCATTTTGAGCGCACATGCATGCATGTGCGGGCGCGTGCAACGAGTGAAATGACTGATATATTTATTATAGCTGTTAAGTTTTAGATTTTTTGATGAAATCCTTTGAAATTCATAATATAAAGACATATTAGTAGTGTAAACAAGGTGACATGGTCAAATTAGCATGAACTCACGCACATGCACATGCGCTTTGCTCTGATTGACTGAAACCAAAATCTCAATTTCTTTCTTGTTTTTTGACAAAATACTTTGAATTTTAAAATATAGTCATATATTAGGATGTCCTACAATATGATATATAAAAAATTTCATGAAATCACGCGCTTGCACGTGCGCTGCAATCTGATTGGCCTAAACTTAAAATGGCTATAAATCTCTTGGTTTTCAACAAAACAGGATGAAATTTAGAACAGAGATGGACATTATGGATTCCTACAGTAAGGTATGGTCATCATGCACATGCATGCACGTGCGCGCGCGTGCATTGTGAAAATTACAAATACACTTGATTTAGCGAATTTTTAAAATATTTTTTTATTAAATGCTTTGATATTTAGTATATTAATATATATTAATAGTGCTGTCAAAATGATATGGTCATTATGCTCATGCATGCACGTGTGCGCACGTGCAAAACCTCAAATGACCAATATACTTGATTTAGCCGAATTTTTTCTACTTTTTGATTAAATGCTTTAATACTAGGCATATTAAAATATATTTATAGTGTAGACAAGATGATATGGTCATCATGCGTATGCATTCACGTGCGCGCGCATGCAATGCTAAAATTTGCAATATACTAGGTTAACTTCGGGGAAAATGTTGTTAAATTCTAAAATGCTTAGAGTTTGCCTTATTTAATGAAGTTTAAAAGGAATAAAGCACCAGAAGGGAGTCGGGGAGCGTTTGGGGAACATCTGTTACGGTTCCCGTTACAATTAGCCCTAGTTCCTGTTACACTCTTTGAAAAAAAAAATTATCTACTGGACTGATCTGTTAGTTAAATGTCATTCAGGTCCCATTTACATTCAGTAAATATCAATACCATGTCAATCTTTTAACTGGAAATATTATTTGAGCTTTAGCGATGGAACTCATGAAAAGTACTCATAAATTTCAAGAGGTTTTGAGGCCAATGTTTTAATAGTTAAATTTTTAAAAGAAACAAAGTGGAGAATGTATTTTTTCTTCAATTTGCAAATTGGCCATTTGCATAGAGAGCTTCTTATTATTAAATATAATTTCAGATAAGTGTGTTGGTAATTATTTTTTATCATTGGTCTTTCTTTATCTCCATTTTAGAGAATCCTATGAAGCTTCCTTTCAGTGTCAGTATAATGGCAACGGGGTTCAGGTATGTCATCTCTACAACTTCAGACTGTTGATATTTAAACCAGGGAAACAAAATATCAAACAAGTCTATATTATCAGTCACATAGTATTTATGAGAAAGCAAATACCTTTATGTTGTTTTCAAAAAAGATTTCTAGCACTTAACTCACTTGTAGTATGATTTTTTCATATGTTAAGTTGTTCATGCTTTAAAAAAAACCTCACCAATAATATTTCCCATCTTTTCTTAAATTTTAATAATGTTTTATGACAAAATTTATATTAAATAATATTTTCACATACTTTGCAGTATAATGGTGACACTGAGGCAGCATTGATGTTGTTAGATTTACAGAAACCTTTGATCTCGGGAGAATTTGCTCCTCACATGAGCTGAAGCATCCAAACCATGAGACAGGGATCTGGAAGCTATCCATCCTGCTTGTATAATTATTTAAGATTTTTGGTTTAGCATCAACTGAGTTGGTTGTTCAACATTGACACATAAATTGTTCTCTCTGAGAACTTGTATTTTGAAGCATTCTCATATTTTGTACATTATGGTTTAAATTAATTTTATTTTTACCCTTATATATCTTGTAGTTTATTTTTAGATTACTACAGTACCATACAAATGCATGTGCTTTTTAATGAAATTAACAGATTTGGTTGTACATGTATATATTTATAATTATATTCGTGTTAAGCTTCAACTGAACAAAAGATTTCTATAACCAGATTTCCTGAAATATGAAGTCTAAAAGTCGATCATCCATTAAACAACCATTTGATTTCTTCTCCATACTGAATTTCCTGCAAGTTAGGTGCAACTCTGGTAATCTATAGAAATTAATTTATTGAGCAATTTGAATTGGACAGTTATGCTCGCATGCCTATAATCCTAATTATCATAATGAATTATTTGTGGCTTTTAGGCCTCTTATCTAAGTCTACATTTGATTTTTTTGTACGCAATGAATTTCTTTTCAACTGTGTATGACAACACCTATATATCTTGTTTTGCATGTTGCAGGCAGTCTGCTATGTATGAATGGTCATTATTTATTGAATATTTTCATGTTGATCATTAAATTATTTACTTTATTTATAACTGTTTATTTATGCTATTTATCTCACTATATTATTATTGTTCTGAATGAAATAAAGAATATTTCGATGTATTTGTGTGTTGACATGGTAAATTTATTTATAGCATGCAAATAAGTTGCATTACATGTATGCTGATGATTCCATTCAGCAAAACACAACTTCTGCTGTGCAATAGATCCAGAATGAAATAATGTGTACTGTGCTGTTAGCAGTCAATGTATCAGTTGTTAAGAAGCAAATTTAGAGAATTGTGGTTCTCCGCTTTCAGGGTATTATTGGTTGGGATGCAAATTATTTATGACATACTGTAACTGTCTTGTCTGCCTCTCCTGTCTTGTCTGTCCATCATACAAAATAAAATTTTGAATTCATAAAAGTGAGATCCAAGAGTAACGTTTCTGAAAATGCATCAAACTTCAAGGTCACAAGCTCGAACATTCTAATACATTCTAAGAGGTCTGTTTCAAGTAATGCACGTGAAAAATATTAAAGCCCTGTCTCTTCTGGAGCAAAAGTTACAACCAAAGTTAAACTTTTGAAAAGGAGGTCAAAGGTCATGGGGCTAAAGAAAGGTGACGTCACAGATAATTTACATGTAAAATACCAAAGCCCAGTCTGTCTTTTCTCATTCAAAAGTTATAACCAATATTAAAATTTTTGAGAAGTAGGTTAAACTTCTAGGTCATGAGGTCAAAAGTCAGTACACATGGTCTGGTCACAAGTGAAGAGATGAACACGTGAAATATGAATGTCCTTTCTTTCTCATTCAAAAGGTATGATTAATGTAAATTTTTTAAAAGTAGGTCAAACTTCAAGGTCATGTGGTCAAAAATCATAGTACATTTAGAAAGGTTACAGATAATTTAATGTGAGATAACAATGCCGTATCTTTTCTCATTCAAAAGATGTGACCATTAGGTTTTAAGTTTTTGTAACAGATGGACAGACAGGCGAATGATATTAATGTTCCCTCACATTTAAGAAAGCTGGGGACTAAAATGCAGCAATTTTGTATAATGTTAGATGCTACTGCAACATTCATGTGTCTTAATTGTTGTCTTAAATGTGAGGATGCACAGATCTATCCTCATTTCTCCATGCACTGAAAAGTTTTACATAAATATTGACTTTTTCTTGAGAATTAGATTTTTAAGTGACACCATCATCCATATATTTCTTAAATATCTCAAGAAGTAAGGGTATATATAAAACTTCATGGTGTGAGATGAAATTTCCCGTTGGTGCGAGAAGAGTTGACGCTGTTTATGGAGATAAAAGAAAATTAAAAGACAAGCATGCCATATTTAGCTATGTATAGATAAATTATTCTAGAAGACAATAGTAATAAATAGTTTGCCAGTGCATTTTCTCTGAAAGTGTAAATGACTGCAATTCATGGGAGGGGGTACTCCATGTTATTCAAAGTTAGACACCTTGTGCTATTATTATACTATGGGTTAAAATATTTAGTACAGAAACAAGTGCCTGTGGTATGACCTTAATTTTTTTTAACAAACTTAAAATCCCTTCATCCAAGGATGCTTTGCGGCAAGTTTGGTAAATGGCCCAGGCTTGGTTCTTGAGAAGAATTACTGTATACAAGGAAATTTTCGCCCCCGTTTTATTTTGGCTCCTTTTGCCCTACTCACAGGAAGGTGAATTTAAGGTTTTGTCAAAGGTCAAGATGTCCAAAAATTTATTTTTACAATAGCTCAAAAACTATGTGAGGTATAAAGTTAAAACTTTTACAATTTATAAATATATCATTGATTAACAGATAGAAAGTATCACTTGAAAACAAATATTTAAAAAATATATTTTTTGAGAAAAAAAATTTCAAGAAATTTGCATATTTTAAAAGAAATACACCTGCTTAATTCTGTACTTTTAGTGAAAACCATCATTGCAGAAATAATATATGTTTATCAATGAAGGGCAAGTTGGATGTGAATGGTCTCTGAAAGGCTGTTATTGAAAGTTTGACATGTATAAAGACAAGACCCCTATAAAATCCGCCATTTGCAATGTACTTTTGGTTTTAAATCTTCACATTTGGACAAAATAAACAAGGAAAACAACTTTCCAGAGGCTATTGACGTCCAACTTGCCCTTCATTGATAAACATATATTGTTCCTGCAATGATGGCTTTCACTAAAAGTACGGAATTAATAAGGTGTATTTTTTTTTAAAAATATATGCATTTTTTTAAAAAGAATTTTTCTCGATAAATATCTTTTTTAAGTATTTGTTATCAAGTGATACTTTCTATCTGTTAATCAATGATATATTTATAAACTGTAAAAGTTTTAACTTTATAAACCACATAGTTTTGGAGCTATTGTAAAAATAAATTTTTGGGCATGTTGACCTTTGACAAAACCTTAAAACGGGGTGAATTCAAAGAACACAATATATTTTCTTAAACAGAACTGTGCTGGGGGAATATTAGAAGGGGCAAAATTGTTTGGATGTGTGAAAGGGCAAAAATAACACAGGGTAAAAATAACCCTGAAAACAGAAGCAAAAGCCCTCCAGAAATGGATTCTTGCAATGATTTATCAACACAAATTTGTTCAGATCATAGCCCTGCAGCCATGTTGGAGTCACAAAAGGGGGTCAAAATTCTACATAGGAATTAGCTCTAGAGCATCATGCACGAAATTCATTTGAAATATTCTAGCATGTAGTGTACATTCAAATTTGTGTAAATCATGACTCCTGGAGCAAGGGTGGGGCCACAATAAACCAGGTCAGTTTTAACGAAGTAATTTGTAGGGAAAATTTCTCAAGAACAACAGGGCCAGAAGTACTTGTATTATTATGTATTATATATGTAAGTTAGTAATTCCTGACAAGGTGTTCTGTCATTGAGGGCAAAGACTAGGTAAGGAGGGAGGAATATAGTAGTTTATGATATAAACCATGGCCTGAATAGCTCAACGGTTGGAGCACTTGACTAGTAATCCAGAGGCTGCACTGGTTTGATTCCCAGTATAGCCATTCATTTTCATTGTGTATTTGTGTTTTTCATTTCTCCTTATCTATTACACACATTATTGAATCATAGTACAGTAAAACAAGGTTACATGCTAAAACATGTAATGTATTCACACTTGCAGTAAAGTGGTTTTCATTCCCTGTAGTTTTAAAACAAATTAAGAACTTGATGAATAATAATTCTAATGAACAACTTTTCTGTAGTAGTGACAGCTGACTTGTTTGCAATTATACTGCATATAAATCATAGAAAGAATCTCATTTAAGGGCAAGAGTGGATAAATATAGTTACTATATACATGTATAACATGAAAACTCATCATCATCTTCAAATTTCCTTGACGGTATCTGCAGCGAATTCAACTTCCATACAAACTGTGACTTTGGGGGTATTAAAAGTAGGGAGGGTTTACTATATTTAACATCTTAAATTGCACTGTCACAATGTTCTCAAATGTTTTATTCTGTTTAATTATTTCATACTGCTTCTTATGCAAGTGCATACAATAAATGTGTTCACTATATAATAAGCACATACGTATCAAACCTCCACAATAAAAAAAAAAAAAAAGAGTTCAATTTTCTGTATTTAATATCAAGTCTTTATTACAAGACAATTCCACGAACTGCCTCAATATCTAATCGACAAGCACTACCAAACAGAGATACACTGATGGTATATCTAACTTATGTCAAAATTACAATTAAGAAAATTTCCAAGTATAACTAACGAGGTATCTAATATTCTACACAATATGTGATGGTTGAGATTAATGGATACAACCCAATTTTGTTACCTTTACTTTTTTTTGGCATCAGAACCCTTATACCATTATAATGCCAAATTACAGGTGACAAATTATGGCCATAAAGAAAATCATACATGTATTTCATTTAAAACTGAGTATTAAAAATTGAATAACTGTAGATAAATATATGTATTAATTATTATAAACTTTGTTCTGGTACAGATAAGTATATCTTTATTTGAACGCTCTCTCTCTCTCTCTCACTCTTTGAATAATGTTTGTCAATACTGTATAATATACAAAGGACACCTAAACACAGGATTATTCAATTTGTCAACACCTACACTTTAATAACATTTTTTATCAGGATTCATTATTTTCTGTTGAAAGCAGATATAAATATTGGAATATTCTTTTAGGAGTTTTTGAACAAATAATGACAGTCAAAATGGAAGATATTTATTTAGTATGAAATAGACTTCTCAGAAAAACCTTGTTCTAAGAACAGTAGTAAAACAAAAAAATGCATGACCACCCATGCACTGTTATTATATACATTCAAGTTAATAGATTCTTTGACAGTCTCTTAATTGTGTACATCCCTCAAAAAGAAAATACTGGCTCTTGAAAATGTCATGTACTTCCTCACATTTTCAGTCTTTATGCATTGCCTACTGTGACCTTGACCTTTAAACTCCATTTAACTTACTGGGAAATGTGTCTTATCACACATAACACATATTATGCCAAGGAAAGGAGGTAGTCTAAGAGTGTGCTTTACCACTTATTGGAAATGTGACCTCATTCAGGCAGGAATACAGAAAAGCCAATTGTAAATTTGTCATGTCAAGAATATGAAAAGTAATATTGGATTATTCTGCATTATAAGCACTTCATTTTTTTTTTTACATTATGAAGATTTACTAGCAAAGACAAAATCTTCAACCTTTTTTCAGATGTCAGAGTGAGTACTTTTAATCTCTGAATGAAAAGATAATTTTGGGAACAATTTTTTAAACAAAACAAGAAGTCTGTGAGCCAATGCTCACTAATAATACCCCCGCTCTGATGTGAATACGCAAGTTCAGTTATAGACAAACACAGTGATAATCAGAAAATTGACATTGGATTAGTAAAAAATGAATCCCAACATATGGCATGCCTAAACAAACATTGTGTTAAGATATCAAGCACCTGCAATGAGTAGTTGCTGAGAAAACTGCGACCAAAATTTGTTATGTATGGTACAGACAGATGCAGGGATAAACAGGAAGTTGACACCAAAATGAATCCTATTATATGGCATGCCTAAACAAAGATTGTGCTAAAATTTCAAGCATGTGCGATGAGTAGTTGCTGAGAAAACTACGACCAAAATTTGTTATGTATGGTACGGACAGACGCACGGATAAACAGGAAGTTGACATCGAATTCGTACAAAAATGAATCCCACCATATGGCATGCCTAAACAAAGAGTGTGCTAAAATTTCAAGCATGTGCGATGAGTAGTTGCTGAGAAAACTACGACCAAAATTTGTTATGTATGGTACGGACAGACGCACAGATAAACAGGAAGTTGACATCGAATTCGTACAAAAATGAATCCCACCATATGGCATGCCTAAACAAAGAGTGTGCTAAAATTTCAAGCATCTGCGATGAGTAGTTGCTGAGAAAACTACGACCAAAATTTGTTATGTATGGTACAGACAGACGCACGGATAAACAGGAAGTTGACATCGAATTCGTACAAAAATGAATCCCACCATATGGCATGCCTAAACAAAGAGTGTGCTAAAATTTCAAGCATCTGCAATGAGTAGTTGCTGAGAAAACTACGACCAAAATTTGTTATGTATGGTACGGACAGACGCACGGATAAACAGGAAGTTGACATCGAATTCGTACAAAAATGAATCCCACCATATGGCATGCCTAAACAAAGAGTGTGCTAAAATTTCAAGCTTCTGCAATGAGTAGTTGCTGAGAAAACTGCGACCAAAATTTGTTACGGACAGACAGACACACAGACAGACAGACACACAAGGGTAAAACAGTATACCCTCCTCTCCTTCGGAGCAGGGGTATAATAAAATTAAGCTGGAATTTCTTAACTGAGGAATGTACAATTGTTAAGATGACCAGAACAATAATTCAAAGAAATTATCACCTTATAAACTTTAAAATCGAGTGAGATTCTTATAAAAAGAAAGTCTACTAATTAAGTAATACAAGTGTGAAAATAGTAGTGATATGTGAAATCTCTGTGACTTGCGTCAACAACAATATTGCATCTCTGATGTTGGATGATGGACTATTTGAGAATTCCTGAGAGAGTGACTAGATATTACAGCTGAAGACAAACATAAAGACAACACACAACAAAGCTGAAAACCGTATACATATATATATGATATAAAAGTTATCTAATGAACACGATGCACTCTACCAAAAAAAAAAAACAAACAAACAAACAAACATTCAAATGTATAAACCTAGAAACATTATAAAATATAAAACCACAAAGCAGATACAATAAATATTCTTAAAAATTTACAAACACAAACAATTTGAAATGTGATTAAAAACAACCACAATAAAACAGCATGACCTGTTGGCTATGACTGCAGCCAATCATATTGCACAATACATAAACATCTCGGGACAACTATTGTGACTATTGTGTAGCGTTGTAACCAAGAATGAAATATCACAGATTTGTGGTAAAAGCTAAGGAGATTTTTCTTAAAAATATGGCAAACATAAGAATTTCTAGTCTATCTAGAACTTTTTTTCAATTTAAATGTTCCAGAAATGAATGCATTTGAAATATTCCAGTGTACATGAAAGAGGAGGCATCATCCTTGTCATTCTAACATTTTTTGTATTAAAAAAATATTACTGAATCTGCCAAAATCATCACTGTGTAAGACTAAACAAATCTGGGTGTCCTGTCCTTCTGTAACTTTGTCTTGCTTTGGCTCTCATCAGACTTTCTTTCCTCTATAGCAGTTTTTGTCCCCCTGCCAGCATTAGACAACTTCCTCTCAGTTTTGGGCTTGTCCTTTTCTGAACTACCTTTCTCTTTTTCTGACAAAGTCTGGGCTTCTATTTTAGATGCCGAAGACCTACGTCTTCCACAGGTGGCACAAGAATAGTTATGCGATTCAGATGTAGCCAGAGTAGCCGATGGCCTGCGAGATGGGGAAGTCTTCTTATTGCCTGCATCTTCCACTCTTGAGACATCTGTCAGTTTCTTAGGTTCCTGTGATTGCCCAGTTCTACGGGGACTTGTAGCAGACCTAGATCCTGTTCTACTTGGTATAATGGCTGCCTTCCCCATCATTATCCCACTTGGACCTTTTGGGGGCCTCTGGTTATCTCGCACTGTCTTGGAAGATTGTATTTGTGTTTTTGGACCCAATTTTGTTCTGGTAACAGCAGGATTGGTTGATATTTTACTTGGACCTTCTTTATACTTGGCACCGATTTGTAGAGACTTTTTATCAAGTTCTGGTTCACTGCCTGTGTCAGGAATTCTAGGTAGCCCTTCAACACTGGCACTCATAACATCAACATCTGAGTTACCTGGTTCTTCCTCCAAAAAACTGGTTTCTGGTAAGCTCTGTCTGAATCCTGGTGGTGCTGAGGATTGCCTTTTTTGAGGACCTCTCAGATTTGGGACACTCTGAGACAGAGATCTGAAGGGAGTGTATGGAGCCTGAATACTTGGCACTGCTGTTGATCTGCTGGATCTCAATGGTACATTGCCTGCCAAGATGGAGTTGGCATTCAAGGATGACAAGGAATAAGAGTAATAGTTGTGACTGCGAGGAAGAACTGGGGATAAACTTGAGAGAAGTAAAGCTGAGGAGCTGATGGAGGATTTAAATGGTTCCGTTGGGGGTTCAGAAGAGGTTTTCTTCCCCGTTAAGTCACTACTAAGGCAATCAGTAGATGAGGCTTTCTTCACTGTATCATCAGTAACTGATTTATCATGAACATGTCCTGAAGTGTCACTTTCACCTTTTAAAAGTAAATTATTAACAATGTCACCCTCACTGGATGATGATGAGAGTCCTTTAGGTGTGGTATCTGGAGGTCTTAGTTGATTTTTGCTTTCTTCCTCCATTTTACTCTCTTGTATGGTAGACATATTTAGCATTATAATCGAGTTTCCTTTTGCTGTTGAACCGAGTGTTGCACTTTGACTTAAAGATTCAGCAGAATTCTCTACAAATGCAATGTTTGTATGTTCTGAATTGAATTTTTGTTGAATAGTTTGGCCACATTCAATGGACTGTGGTTGATTTTCTTGGTCAAAAGATGGTGGATTTGCCACAGGTACCAAAACTGGCTGACCTTCAATGGTTAAAAGAGGAGTCTCCTCTTTGGCAGTGGAACCACTTCGAGATATTTCATCATTCTTTGAGGAATTTGTTGAATTTTGTTCAGCTTTCTCAAAAGTCTCATTTTTTGACATTGAATGAGGTTTTTTAGTATCTTCTTCATGGGATTCACTTCTGCCAACATCAACAGTGATTTCAGTTTCTATTGGTTTCTGTCTATTCAAGGTTGGTCTCTGTATCTGTGGTGAGGACCAAGGACTTGTTAAGGAGGAAACTCCTGAGGAGATTGAGGAGTCGTCAGAGTCCTCTGGAAGTGTAAAGGACACCTTTGTTTGTCTTGTTATTGGTGGTGTCATTCTTTGCACGGGGAATTCAGTGTTGCTTACAGTTGGGTAAGAAGATGTCATTCTTCTCATGGTCTCTGGTAAGGATGTGGCAGCAGAAGACGGATCACCTTCTTCCAGATCTGAATGACTCTGGGTGACTAAATCATCCTTTACTGCTTCATCCACAGGATCATCCTTTACTGCTTTATCCTCAGGATCATCCTTCACTGCTTCAATGATAGGATCATCCCTTACTGCTTCAACCACAGGATCATCACTTACTTCTTCCTCCACACTGTCTCTGGGCTCATCAATTAATGACGCAGTGTTAATTTTTTTGGCAGATTCAAAAAATGTTTCACTACTCTCATCTGATAAGGATTTAAATCCTTTTGAAACATGAGGTTTTTCTTTAATTTCTGACAAGGATGATTGCCTAGGAAGTTTGGGAGATTTCTGAAGCACATTTTTTATGGAAGACAAGGACAAGCTGTCAGAAGAAGACTGGCGTTGTAATGGTGGAGAGGTCTTTGATTTCTTATCTTTCACAGAATCAGACTTCTCTGTTTTGGTGCTGGAAGGAAAGTTAGCTTTTAGTCCTTTTGCTGTTGCAATAACAAAAGACTGTAAGGAAGGCCCTATGGATTTGAGGTTTTGGAGGGCACTTGTTCGGAATTTGGACTTGTCTGAGGGCTTAAGAGGATAACACATCTGTGGCTTTGAGTCAGTGATAGGACTGCTCTCTACAATCGTAATAGAGGGCACCAACATCTTCTTGGCAGACTCTGGACTCAGGGCTAGATCTTGTGGGGGGCAGGGCTTCATTATGATAGGCCGGGTCACTTTCTGAATCTCCTCCTTTATTGGTAAACTCTGGAGACGATACTGCCTGGCTAATCGCTCCACTCCTACAATATAAAATGATATTTTAACACAATAATCAATGATTTTTTGTGTAAAGTCAAAACCTCTTAAATGTTTTTTTTGCTGATATTACTTGATATAAAGAAATTTCTTCTGGGTGTAAAAATGTTAAAATTCTTGCAGAAAATACAACCTCATGCCAGAGAATTAACGTGTAAAATTTTCCCCATTGAAACATTTTTTTTTTAATGATAACCATCAAAATCATGTAAATTTTGGGTAAGTACATATACATGACAAATGTGCATTGGAACATATCCTTTTCTGTGAATATAAAATTTTTGGGGAGCACAGAAGCTGAATATGACAAGAAAACAACCCACTTATAGCACAGGGTGGTGTTGGGGTCTTAAAAAAAAAAAAAAAACTCGATGATTAACATTTGGACAAGTAGACTCTTCTTTTTATATAAGAAACTTCACATAGTAAAAAACAAATGATAAAACTTTAAAGGTGCTTAGACACAGATTTGAACTTAATATTTTCTCAAATTTTCTGTATAACATCATGACTTATATATTGCAATAGCATTTCATACCAAAATATAATTAAAAACTTATTTTATCTGGAAATTACTGGAACTACGAATTCCGGGACATGTTTGATTAACACATCTTTGCACTTACACAAATTTTAACTTTATTTTGTTACGTATTAATGAAAAATATTACATCTATAATCCAGAAAAAATAGAGTAGAAATGTTCGACAGCAAAACCAACTCACCAGTATTGTCAGTCCGTGCTCTGTGATGTGTACAGAGTTTAACAAATTGAACACACCCATGAAACGTAAACTGTTTTTGTAAACAGGGCACGAGCTCTGTTATTGTTAATGTTTACAATTCAACAGGTGTGTTCAATGGTGTTAAACTCTGCACACACCACTGAGCACGGACTTACAATACTGTGAGTGGGTTTTACTTTCAAACATTTCTACTCTGAATTTTCTGGGTTATAGTTTTAATATTTTTCATTAATACACAACAAAATTGCCACTTTTCTTAAGTATTAAGAATAAAATTAAAATACGTGAAAGCGCAAGGATGTGTCAATCCAACGCGTTCAGAAATTCGAAGTTTTAATAACTTTGAGAAGAAATAAGATTTTTGTTATATTTTAGTATGAAATGCTATAGCAACATACAAGTCATGAAATTATACAGACAATCTGAGAAAATATTAACTTCAAATCTGTGTCCAAGCACCTTTAAGGCTACATGATTTCAAAATTATTGATGTCAGCTATGAATGACCCCAGTTAATGTTAAAAAAAAAAGCTTATAATACATGCATTCATAAACTTACACCACAGTTCACTGAAATAGAAAATGGTAAATAAAAGATGGTTTATTTATAATTCGGGAATGAAATGGTTCATATATATATATATATATCTATATATATATATAGGGAAAAAATCAAGTCTTTGGCTCACTCTTGCTTTTATGGACAAGCCGCTGTCTTGATGAATCAATAACAATCAAGTTTCATATAAGATAAATATCTTCTTCAACTTCATGTACATCTACTATATCTTCTACACGGGAGTATAACATACTTCTAAATAACTAAGTACCTCAGAGCTAACAATATTCAGCAGCTATTGACTAACTCGTCTACTCATCTCACTTCAATCTGCTGGCTAGCAGAAAAACTAAACCTAAGGCTATGATCTTCTGACTAGATAATGCTTAAGTGTGAAAATTTTAAGAACATACTGCAGATGAATTCTTTTAAAAATCTTTAAAATCCAAATCACTTAATCTTCATCAAATAATTGCACATGTATAATGACCAATGAAAACAAATAAAATTTGTTTGATAAAGTGATATGTTCCTGGACAACTACTAATTTATGAACATTAATTAAACAAACATAATCAAAAGTCTACATAATTTGCTTTCAAACAATGGTATAATAATTTATGTAAACACCCAGTTTCTATATTCTACAATGATCACATATTGTCTAAAGAGATCTTGAGAGGAAAAGTTCAGAACAAATTTGGGGACCAAATCTGACATTCTGGAAATTAAACAATTACCAGACAATGTATGAATTATGAATAAAAGTATCATGGTGCACATATTACAAAAGCATATATGGCAAAAACGCATTTTATAGAGAAACAATTGGAGAAAAATAGCAGTCAAAAAAAAAAAACAGAATGAGAACACTGCAGGACACACAAAGGTCAACTGAGGTCAAGGGTCAACAGGCTACTCAAGGCATCAAGATTCAGTGCCAACTAATCATGCTTCATTACCTGTGTGCCATTAATACCAGCCAAAAGTGGTCTCTCCTACAATATTATGTGGTACTAGTAATTCAGTGATTCAATAAACAATTCTAATTTCTACATCAAAATGATAGCAAATTTTAACTATATGGATATTGGTTGACTATGCACCAAAACCAATTCTGAACCTGCACAATCAATCATTATTATTTTGTGAATTCAAAAGCATTCTTGTTTTATAATATTTTTTTTTAAATCAGGAATGTAAGTTTTAAACATGCCAACAAATACACATTAGATACATGGTTGCATGCATGATATTCCTTACACAATGCATGCTGTTTCTATAACACCTGACTTTGGAAAATTCGGAGAACCCTATCAACTGTAGATGCAGGAGCCAAACCAAATGAAAAAGGTGAAAAACTGGGGGTTTAAGGCTACTAAATAGGATTTAATTTTTATTCCTCTACACAATGATGAACCTTTGTCACTTACAATTAACTGTAATAAGAACAAATGCTTTGTGTTGATGCTTAATTCTATTTCAAGTTATAATGTATACGTAATTACAAATGGAAAGATCAGAAGCAAATCTGGTTATTAGCAGGAGGTTTAAAAACAGATTTTTTTTGTAACTACCGAAAACACCCAGTTTGGAGGCACAGTGAGATGGAGTTGGTTTAAAACATTACAACATGACTTACATTTACACGTAGCCGAGGAAGTCAATTTGAACTGTAAATCAAGATGCAAAAACATTGTAATTAGTCAAACAACACAGTTAAGAACACACATTTCAATCTGGAGTGAAATTAGATCAACACTTACAAAATAAACCATTAGTTACACATTAAGTCATTCAACAACAAAAAGGCATTTATTAATAATCATTTTGTTTAATGCATTGTACGTCATAATTGAAAAAAAAATCTCAAATTCTATTCTTAAAAGAAATATAGCAAAAAAAATACAAAATGAACATCAAAGTTAGTAATAGTGGCAAGTTGTAATATTTATGTATGACCTAGAAAGCAATGTTAACAAACAAATTAAAATCTCTATTATCATTTACTTCTTAGCTTTTTACATTTTTATTCCATCTATGCAACAAACACTCTTATAAGTTTAACATCTGCTTTCTAAGTTACGGTTGATAACTAAAAGTACCGTTAGTGTTAGGGGTGAAACGATACACCTCCTTCACGGTTCGATACGTATTGTATAATTTTGTCTCGGTTCGGTTATTTTCGATACGATACATTTTGATAGAAGGAAACAAATTCAACGTTGTTTTATGCTTTCTTTTTCTAAATCTAGTCACATATTTTACGAATTTTATTTGCAAATTAACTAGAAGAAATTGATTAAAATTGTTTGACTGTCAAAAATTATTTTACAAGCTATCAGTCATCAAACATTTACGTTTTCTATACTTATTTATACTGAGTAACGTGTTATACCTTATGCCAAACCCGACTGAATAACGATCCCGACCGAAAAATGAACCGAACCGAAAATTAGAGATTTTGCACCGTGTATCAAACCGAGAAAAAATACCGCGGTGCATCGATACCGCGGTGAACCGTTTCACTCCTAGTTAGTGTATAAACACAGTCAATGAGAAAAGTTGAAATGCTGTAAATGTACTTTTTTCCATGGGATCATAATTCTGTGGAATCACCATTTCTGTTCAACTGCGAGTAGAAAATTATGCATGTTTCTTGGACTGTTATTAAATGTCCTTAATGCATTTTAAGTACCGTACATTGTGATAGATAAATTGTGACTGTGTGACATAACAGAAATTAATCCCATGCAGAAAAAAGTACAGCTGCAGTAAGACATATCACAAAATTCATTCATTCCTGTTATAAGCATTTTCCAAAAGCACCATTTATTATGGCTTCAAGCATTATGCTGCAATTCTTCATTATAATATACATGTATATTGTCTTTTATGTCAACATCTAAGTTGAAAGATACCAGCTGACAGTGTACATGTATTAACAATGCTTATATGTAACTGTCTGCATAGGACACCTTATCTACTGCTGCATATTACATAACCTTGTGAAACTATCTTTTGTACAGCTGTACATAAATCAAATCTAAACTAACAGACCAAATTTCAAATCTGGTTACATTCTTCTTTTTATTAGCAATTCTCATGTTCTCTGACTACAGTGTGTATATTTTTTTTTTATCACATGTTTATCTCTCTACCAGTGGATATAACTCATTGGATGAATTTTTCATATCCCAAACTTTGTATTTCAATTCTTCTAGATCAAACAAATTTGTGAGTGCATTTGTAAACAAATAAACAAAGTGGAATTCAGAAAATTCAATCAATGAAATCAATAGGAAAAAAAAAACAAGTCTTACTTTTTCAATACAAACTATTTTTAGAAATGTGATACTGTTGACATTACATGGAATAAGACTGCAGACAAGAAAGAATAAGGGGACAAAAGCTATTAAACCATGTGATAAAAAATTCCCATGGTCTTTGATTGGATATGATTTTTGTCCATCTTGGATGTTTTTTATCCCCTTGCCAAAGTCTCAGGGATAGTAAAAACACATATTTTCATGGATAAAAATCTTATCCAATGACAAATCCTGGGAGATCCGATCTATAAAAAGTTACATGTGTTTTATCATCTATTCATATTCTTAACATGCAAGTGAATATTCTGCATTTTTCAAAATACACCAATATCCATGCCTATAAACACCAGTATACTATTCTGGCAAGCACAACTATCCACAAGTCTTGATTTTACTTAGCATATTCAATATAATCACATTTTCAGTAAATATGATATTTCACATGCAGCTTGTTACCTAATACTTATAAGAGCCATGCATGATATCCACACGATCTGCAGTTCAAGGGAGAAAAATCAGTAACAAGGGAAATCACTCAATCACATCAACTCAGAAAATTCACTTAAAGTGAAAGCACACACAAATCAATGTAGAAAATTCTTCGAGACAAAGTGAAAGCACATAAACGAGCAGGAGTAACTATACTACCTTTGCAAGTTGTTGAAGAAACAGAAGAATTTGCATGCTGGGAAGAAAAAGACTCGTCAGGAAGATTAATATCTGTGAAGTCATCATCGAAGTTTACATCGGCACTATCATCTGAAAGGGTCACTGATAAAACTCAAGGCCATGCAAAATTAAAACAGAAAATGCACAAGATTTCAAACAATTTTTCTAGCAAGCGTGCTGTCCAAGTGCTTAATTGTAATTTAAAGTTATCTGCTACCTAATAAAAAAGAAGGAATCAATTTAAATGTTCATATTTTTACAGGTTATGTTGTGTTTTTTTTTTTTAAATAAAATTTCACAATTACAAATTGTTTAGATGGGAAAAACAACAGTTTTAAACTTAAACAGTACAAGTGATAAGCACCCCAAGCACATATAAAGTCAAGGCAAAACAGAATAGGCAACAGTATAAAAAAAACACAGCTGACATTGTTTCCTGATTTTCATAGAGGACAATACAAACAAACACCATCCAAATATGTACAGAACACTAAGCATGCAGGCTACAAGAAATAAACACCATCAACAAAGAATCACACAGGAGAGGGATTCACAAAACTCTGTCCTGAGAACAAACACTGTTCATACAGATAGGTTATTACAGTATACACACATATAGAGTAACAAACACTTATTTGTACATGAACATGCTTTAAAATTTATTACATAATTATATTTTTTTCAGAATTTCTGTAATATCCTATGGTACATGTAAAACAAATTAAAATTTAATGAAGAAGGAAATTTACCAAAATTATGCACTGACTAATGTTTTAAAGAATGTTATAATCATACAGTCCTGGAAAAAAAACCTATGTACATGTACAGAACATTAGTATGATATACTCAAGTATAAAGCCAGATACCATTTCATTACATTTCCTCAAAGACAAGGATAGATAAGCAGCATAAACAGAGAAGTAACAAGACAACGCTGCTATCGTGTGGTGTTAAAGCTACATTGCTAGAGTGAGGTTAATTTTGTTACCCTCGGACACAGCTGGGGGTGAAGAACTTTTCTTGTCAGTGCTACCAGGTAAAACATAATCTGTTTCAGAGGTCTGGAATGAAAATATCTATCATGGCATCAAGTGTATCAGTGATATTTGATATCCTCCAACTTTTCAGTATAAAGTTAATTCAATTCAAAGAATCTAAATTTTCTCCACTTCAATTTACTCTTCAAAAATATAAAGATGAGACAGCTCTTAATTCAATTCTCCAAGATAGTCGGATCCAAAATCTTTTTTAGAATAATAGCACTGGTATATGATCCATTGTAAGTGTCATCAATGTCTAAACCCACAACGAAATAAGTTTTCACTGCTCTAAATAATGTGATCACCACTTGTTTGAATCATTTCACAATTAAAATAATTAGATACAGAATTCTCTATGTAAATATGATAATAACTCTATTTATTTTGATATCATTATTAAAGTTTTGTAAACTTTTCTCCAAACCCAGAGGATAACAATAAAGTTGTAAGAGGTATGCTGTCTACTACAGAATTCAAACTGAAAAAAAAAGTCTGTTGGAAAAATCACATAGTCAGTTTTTCTAAGTATCTATAGTGTAGGAGTGTAGGAACTATTCTGAGAAAAATCCTGATGAATATCTCTGCCCAAACCTTACATCTACAGCAAATTTATTAGCACTATAAATCAACTCTAATTTAATTAAAAAAGGAAACCAAGGGACACAACTCCCAAAAGCTCTCAGAAATCTGTAATATATGAATCTTGAATGTACAGGCATGTAAAGCAAGCGCTAAGTATTTTCAACACTCTTTTACCTTCTATATTAACCGTACAAGATAATCTAAAAATAATTGAACATTTAACTATCATTTGCATGTATAAAGTAAACTGCTCTTGCTTAGATCTTCAAACAAGAGACCCATGGGCCACAACGCTCACCTCAGTCACATTGGCCTTCCTGTTCTTCCTTACAAGATTTAAAAAAATTTTTTACCTTCATTCACATAAAAATTTCTTATGTCATATGTGGCCCCACCCTAGCACCAAAGGGTCATGACATAACCTAATTTGAATCAATGCATCCTGGGGAACCTTCAGTATCATTATGACTAACATGGCCTTCCTGTTCTGCAGAAAAAGTAAACAAGAAAGGTGAAAAATTACTCAGTCAAACCCAAGGATCTTTAATTTGGGGGGGGGGGGGGGATGCACCAAATTTGGAATGTTTCCAAAATAATTAAGTGTGGCCCTGTCATTATTAAAAGAATGATTTAAAAATAAAATCCTTATTAATTTCTTTAAAATATTGATCCTATTTGGCCCACATTACAATGTACTACAAAGGGCCTTGATATGAACAAACTTGAATCTGCAGTACCTATGAATCCTTGTATATTAATATCACTAATCATGGCCTGCTGTTTTTGAAAAGATTTTTAACATTTTCCCTAACTTATATATTCCCATGTAAAACTTTGATTCCTGAATGTGGCCCCACCCTCTCCAGGGTGGAAAGGGGTGGGGAAGGAGAGGGGCATGATTTGAACAAACTTAAACCCCATTACCTTAAGATGATTTCATCAAGGCCCTATTGTTTTTGAGAAGATTTAAAAAAAAATTCCTATATATTCTCATGTAAACTTATCTCCTATTGTGGTCCCACCTTACCCCTGGGGGGGCATGATTTGAACAAACTTGAATTTATGCTATTACAGGAAACTTTCACATAAGTTTCATCTTTTCTGGCCCAATGGTTCTTGAAAAGAAGATTTTTAAATGACCCCACCCAACTTTTAAACTAACTACATGTATTTGTCAAACATCTCTCCTTGAAAGAGGATGTGTTCCTTCATTTGATTTTCTTGAGATGAAGATAAAATTGTGAAAAATTTAGGATAACAATGACAATGACAACATTCAATGGAAAATTTTGATCAGAAAAGCTCACTTGAACTTCTGGCTCCGGTGAGCTAAAAAAAAGGCTCAAGGGCTACAATCCTCACCTGAGTCCAAATGAAATATGCTTTGGCCACCAACTCATAGTACATGATTTCAACATTTTTAGATATCGTTTATTGCGCCTTGATGTTAAATTTACAAATTATGGGAAGTGTGCTTATACAGCTGTATCTGCATTCAACACTGTCATCATATGGTGGCTCCAACCTAATCCATGAGGACATGCTGATTTCACCAAACTTGAATCAACAATTAATAAGGGAACTCTTTCGTAAGTTTTGTCTTTTCAGATCAAGTGTTTCTTGAGAACAAAGTTCTTCCCATAATTAATATTAATTATTTCCCCTTGAAGAATAGCATGGCTTTTTATTTGAACATATTTGAATCACCCATGGATGCTTTGTTGAAAGTTTAGTGGAAACTGGCCCAGTGATTTAGGAAAAGATGAAAAAGTCAAAAATTTGCATATAAATACATGTACATACATACATACACAGACAAACTTCATTCAGAAAAATCTAGCTCAGGTGAGCCAAAAAAAGATTACAACCTACAAAGCAAAGCGTGTCAATAAGGAGCTCTTCATAAAAAACAAGTAGTGGTCCTTTTTCATTTAAAGATTTTCTGCAACTTGAGAATACCTTTGAGTTTTAAACACATACTAAAATAGAATTTTATAATACAATAAAGAATATTTTCTTCACACACCTTGGATTTGCTATCATCTGAAACATTCAACAAGTGCAGGTTCCCCTCTTCAATGCTACAAAATAGAAAGTATGTGTAATGAAACAGATAGCCGAATCTGCAAAATTACATGTATGCATAACAGCCTCATATTCAATTTCCATATTGGAAATACATAAAAATTCTGAGTATACACATATGTTGGAAGAATTTTCTTTATACCTAGATCTGGTTCTGCTAGGTCTCTCTTTGGTTCCACCAGATTCCACTAAAAAATGAAAAAAAAAAAGTTTTTTAAGAATTCTCCTTTGATGATCCAAACAAAAAAAGTTGTTGATTACCATATTTGGCTGAATACGCACTTTTTTCCCAAAATAATTTTCTGTGAGAAAGGGGTGCGTATTTTACACCACAATGGGATTTTGATAGGTTTTTCTTTCATGTGAAACACGGCTATCATACGCACATACCGTAGTATTACCTACAGACTTGTGCAATTTCTTGCTGTTTATCGCCATATTTAAAACTTCGGAAAGTTATTGTTGGAATGTAGACTTGTTAATAATGTTATATTTATAACCTTTTAATAGTTAAATTAAATTTAAAAGCAAGTTAAAATTAATTTGAGCTGCATGTTCATCGTCTCCGTGTAGGCCGCCATTAACGATGTTATTTATAGATGTTCACACATTCCTTTGCCACGCACTAATCATAGTACACATGTACCTAATCAGTCAGACACTCGGTCAAAAAAGTAATATGTCATTTTTTAATGAAATACAATAAAATAAAATTTTATTTTAGGTTTTAAATAACTCAGTGAAAATTCATTTCAACATAAACACCCCTGTATACGTCCCAATGAATGGAAGCCAATGTTGTGAACACGTGCGCTTGTCACTTGATAATTACCCCCCTCCAGGCAATTCAATTGTTTACTGACTCCAAATCATTGTTTTTACAGTTAGAGCACTGATTATTTACTGCCCTTATTAATGGCTTTGATTATTTTCTTTCTTAAAAATCGGGGATTGGTTTATGATCTTTCGTATGTATAAGCGTGTGTTGATTACGACACATTAAACAGTTAAACGCTTGTTAAATGTAATTTTACTTTATCTTATATCGGCCTCGTGTTAAAATGGTTGAGAGTTAAAAAAGGAAATATGAAGTATTTTGAAACTTAAGTTTATCATTTACTCGTGCTCTGTAGAAAATAAGATATCCACAAAGATTATCTCGATGTATGAAGACATATATCCCACCTTTGTACATCATTTTTCACAGCTTTGGAGGTGTGTTGATAACTACACTTTATTCGCTTGTTAAATTTTGATTTTATTTTTATAACATCAGCTATTTATTGAATTAATTGATTTCAAGTTCAAAATCGGAAAATCGTAGTCTATGTTTAAAAATAAATATGACAACTGTTAAACTTGCAACAATATCTCGTGCTTTGTTGAAATAAAATTATTTCCACAAAGAATAGTTAGAATACGGCGATGTATAATTTCAATATCACCGTTTGCTGAAAAAATAAAACTCTGTTAATACTTTAATGTAACATTATCTCGTGCTTTGTTAAAATAAATAATTTCCTCCAGATTGCCGCGATATGGAAAGTCAAGATCAAAATATAAAAACACATTTGAATAAAATATCATGTTCTGTAAATTTTCGGCACTTTATCTCCGCGCCGATTTTCATGGCAAATTACTGCGATTTTCAAAAGTTCAGAACACTGCTTGGTAAAATTTTCTGCTGCGTATAATACAACCGAACTGCGTTTTTTTCCCCAGTTTCAGGCTCAAAAAGGGGGGTGCGTATTTTACACCAATGCGTATTATATTCGGCCAAATACGGTATTTTCAAAATTGCATAAGACCTAATGGGCTTGATTATTTCTGAGGTTACCTGAATGACCCGTATCTTTCTCATGCCTGCTCTGTCCATTTACTGACAAAGATTCTACAGGAGTCTCTCCTGGTATCAACTCATATTCTGTCTCTGGACCAAAGATTTCCTGTCCAAATACAGTTTTATGAATAAAGGAACTACTACATTCAAAGTGTCAATGTAAAGTCTATTCTGAAAACATTTATAAGAATATCTTGTTGAATTTATTCTTCCAAAATCTATTTGAGTAAAAATTCAAAATGAAAATCAATAAAATCCTGAACAACAAAAGAATTAATCACCTTGACATTTGCAATCAGCAGCTCCACTGTGCGAGTTTGATGAGGTGTGTCAACCAATGAAGCAAGACTTCCTGTCCCTTCCCTGTAAGAATTGATGACAGAAATTTTTAACAAACTTTCCAAAAAAATGTTAAACAAAAAAAAAAAAAAAAAAAAAAAAAATACATGTACATATTTTTCATTTCAAAAAAAAAATTGCCATTTTAATCAGATAAACACGAGGCCCATGGGACACAGTGTTCACCTTGGTCACTTTTGCCTTGCTGTTCTTTATCAGAGGTTTTTTTTAAATTTGCCTCTTTAGTTTCATAAAAATTTTGACTCTCTTTTTTATACTCGTTAAATTCACACACTGAATGCTGGCAAACAACTCACAATGGCCTCAGAAGAGTAGGTCCAAACACAATACCCAAATTACTGGCAGTCATCTGATTTGTGCTGCTGTAAGATGCTATCCTGTTCAAATAAATTAAGCCAAGACTTAATTCTAATATGAAATATAGAAAAGCAGTGATATCAAGTTCAGTTTAAATAAATACTGTACATGTACATAAATTGGCATATTCAAAATCTAGTGCAATCAAGGGGTATGGAGTTGTTGGCGTAATAATGTATTAGCACTACACATGTCCGTGCCATGTATTGTATTAGTAAATGATTTCTTAGCGGTATTCATGAATTAGCGCATCGTTGTCCGTGCCAAAGCCGCTAAAATATGAAGCCCGCTTTTTTAAGTACACATACAGTTTCACTGACATAAGGTAACAGATGTAGGAAATTAAAAGAGAAAAATGTTTTCTTAGGGGAGATAACTCTTCATATCCATTGAATAGGCATACCTTGCTAAATGGTGCATTAACATTGCACATGTTTTGAAATTGGAATATGGAAGTTGTGATGCCAGGTCCCCTAGTTTGCTTACTGTGTCATCTTCACTCAACATATTACCCATGTTATCCTGTATCACAAAATCAATAAAAATTCAAGAATAATGATGCTAAATGAGCAAATATAATCAACAATTTAAAAACCTTACAAGTTAATTGAACACAATGCTCTAAATTTAAATCTTTCTTAATATATCTTAGCAATAATATATTAGTAATTTCAATCAGATTTTAACTTTAAAAAATTCTTAGTGGAAGTACATATGTATTTCTTTAAAACAAACAGTAAAGAGAGAGAGAGAGAGAGAAATAAATCCTATTTTCCTATTTGTTAATAAGAGTATATGCTATACAGACCTTTGAAACTTGTATAAAACTGGAATACAACTTAAAACTTAGAAGTGGTTCAGGCAGCTGAAAAGAAATTTACCCCTCTTACTTAAATGCACCTCTTGCACGTTAGCTAGGAATGATTACTCCAAAGCCTTATTAAACTTTTTGTAAATATTGGGGAAAAATGTAAGTATTCATAAAAGCATTCATAAACAGAGTAGAGAGATATTACCTGTCTAAGGTAAAGCTTTAGTACATTGGATATAACATTAGGATGCTCATCATCCAAGTTCACAGAATCTGGATCCTTTTCAAACCTTGAACACAATGCCTCTACTTTACTCTTCACGCCTGACATTCTGTATATGCCCTAGAAAATACAGAACAATCAGACAGGTAATCAAAAATCACTTTTCAATTATATATTTTATACCTGTATCAATTAACACAAGAATGATTGTGCTAAAGCAATAAATATGAATCCTGCTAAAAACATGTACAAGTACACAAAAAGTATCATGGAATCATTTTAACTTGTGGGGGTCAATATGTGTGGGCAACCAAAAATGTTTTGATTTTTGGGCACATAATTTCATGGATATGAAAAGGATTCCAAACTACTATACACTGACAGTCATTATTTGTGGGGATGTACATGTAATTTCATTGGTAAGGGTGACCCAAAAAATACACAAACATTGGTCCCCATGAAAAATGATAATACCACAGTATTACACCATTTTTAATTGATACCTTCCCAACATGTGTATTCAATGTACACTGTATAGAATTCATTGCAAATAATCATTCAGTGTAAAACTTGATATGTACCCAATAATTCATTAATTTACAGCCATACAATTTATTTCCTTTACCTTTATTAAAATGCCTCTTTTTTCTATCTCTGTTAAACATTTTGTCACAATACAGGGAATTGCTGAATGACTTTTCTCCACTTGTTCCTGAAAATCTACACCAAATGTCGTGTTACGTCTTTTGTTCTGTCTCTGAAAAAAGCATTTACTTTTGTATAGAATTTATACACCTCCTAATTCATTTATGCACTTTCAAACTCTGCATACTATTCTACAGAACTTTCTAGTAGATGTACATGTACATGATAATATTACAACTATTGTTGATAAGATTCAATCTCTCACCTTCAATAAAGCTTGCAGGTCCAGCTCGGTAGAAGGTAAACCAAGCAAAATGGCTTCACCTAGAATACAAACATGCTTTTTACATAAAACCAGAAAACTGACAAAAAGTAGAAGGCCCCCTAGTGTGCTTTATGTGTTATTTACTTTGAATATAACCATAGAAAAGGGGACTTAAAGATCTGGCTTCTCTTTTTAATGTAGTATATATTGAAGTCTGTAAGTTGAGATATACTCCACATATCTAGACAAGCACTGACAAACAGACAGACAAACAGAATAATTAATATTAGCACATATTTTCATGCATACAGATTATATACATATATTCATGAATTTATATAGGGGAGGCTCTCTAAAGAGACTAAATGTTATCTATATCAAAGATAACCACAGTAAAGTCTATATAAATCATGTACACTCAATGTTACATAAGTCAATACCATCTGTTTCTTCCAGGTCATCAAGTGAGCCAGATTTGACGAAGGGTTTACGTCCACTCTGGTGGGGACTACTACTGGGTGAGGACTCCACAGATCGACTGCTCCCACTGTCAGACTCACTGACTAGAGTTGTCCCCCATGCCTTCACACGGTACCGATCTAAACAGAACAGTAAATTATCTAATCTACAGAATAAAGAATTCCTACATCATAACTTCACACTTCCGAATAAGAAACACCGTAAGATGATATGGTGTTTTGCAAACTACATCAATTAATATTCTGATCAATACAAGAGGCCCAAGGGCCTTGAATCGCTCTTCTGATAAACTGCACAACCTATCACTTCTATTTGAAGCACCTAAGTATCCTGTATATTTAGATAAACCCTTGAAATTCAAATTCACACTCTAAGAACCCAAGATGATTCTAAGCCAATTAGTACCTGAGAGTTGGTCATGGTGACCTACTTACAACTTGTCATTCTCTGAGGATCCATCAACTAAGTTTGATGATTCTAAGCCAATTAATACCTAAAATAATTTTAAAAATCATAACTAAGTAGGTCAAAGTGACCTACTTTTCAGTTGATGTACTCAAAGGACCCAAGATGCATCAACTGACAAAGTTTGATGATTCTAAGCCAATTAGTACCTGAAATATTTAATTAAAGCCATAAATTTTCAAAAGTAGGTCACGGTGACCTACTTTTCAGTCGACTTACTCCGAAGACCCAAGATGCATCAACTGACAAAGTTTGGTGATTCTAAGCCAATCAGTATCTGAAATATTCAATTATGGTCATATAAATTGAACAAGAGGCCCATGGGCCACATCGCTCACCTGAGTAACTTTGGCCATGCTGTTCTTTACCAGATTCCCCCCCTTGTAATACCTATTGTGGCCCCACCCTACCCCCGGGGGTCATGATTTGAACAATGGATGCTTCCACTTAAATTTCAGCTTTTCTGACCCAGTGGTTCTTGAGAAGAAGATTTTAAAAGATTTTTCTTATATATTTCAATGTTAAACTTGGATTCCCTATTGTGGCCCCGCCCTACCCCCGGGAGTCATGATTTGAAGAATTTAGATTCTACACTACCCCAGGATGCTTCCATATAAGTTTCAGCTTTTCTGGCCCAATGGTTCTTGAGAAGAAGATTTTTTAAGATTTTTTCCTATATATTTCAACGTAAAACTTGGATTCCCTATCGTGGCCCCGCCCTACCCCCGGGGTCATGATTTGAACAATTTAGATTCTACACTACCCCAGGATGCTTCCATATAAGTTTCAGTATTTCTGGCCCAGTGGTTCTTGAGAAGAAGATTTTTTAAGATTTTTTAAGATTTATTTCAATGTAAAACTTGGATTCCCTATTGTGGCCCCGCCCTACCCCCGGGGGTCATGATTTGAACAATTTAGATTCTACACTACCCCAGGATGCTTCCATATAAGTTTCAGTATTTCTGGCCCAGTGGTTCTTGAGAAGAAGATTTTTAAAGATTTTTCCCACATATTTCAATGTACAACTTGGATTCCCTATTGTGGCCCCGCCCTACCCCTGGGGGTCATGATTTGAAAAATTTATAATCTACACTACCCCAGGATGCTTCCACATAAGTTTCAGCTTTTCTGGCCCAGTGGTTCTTGAGAAGAAGATTTTTAAAGATTTTTCTTATATATTTCAATGTAAAACTTGGATTCCCTATTGTGGCCCCGCCCTACCCTCAGGGGTCATGATTTTAACAATTTAGAATCTACACTATCCCAGGATGCTTCCACATAAGTTTCAGCTTTTCTGGCCTAGTGGTTCTTGAGAAGAAGATTTTTTAATGACCCCACCTTATTTTGTCTTTTCTTGATAATCTCCCCTTGTAAGGGGTCTTGGCCCTTTATTTTAACAATTTACATTCCCCTTCACCCAAGGATACTTTGTACCAAGTTTGGTTAAAATTGGCCCAGTGGTTCTTGAGAAGAAGTCGAAAATGTGAAAAGTTTACAGATGGACGGACAGACAGACAGACAGACAGACAGACAGAGGGACAGACGGACGGACGGACGACGGACAAAATGTGATCAGAAAAGCTCACTTGAGCCTTCGGCTCAGGTGAGCTAAAAATAGGTCACAGTGACCTACTTTTCAGTTGACATTTTTTGAGGACCCAAGATGCATCAACTTACAAAGTTTTATGATCATAGGCCTTAAAATGTCCAAATTATGCCTCTAAAACACTTTGAAATGGAATGCCTGCAAAGTTCCAAAAGTAGGTCACTGTGACCTACTTTTTAATTAATATGTTTTATCGCCTCAAGATGCATCATCTTACAAGCTTTAATGATTCTTAACCTCTTGGCATTCGAATTAATGACCTTAATTGTTTTGAAAACGATTAGCCATAAAATTCAAAAAGTAGGTCAATGTGACCTACTTTTTAGTTGATGTACTTTGAGGACCCAAGATACATCAACTGACAAAGTTTGATTATCATAGGCCTTAAATTGTTCAAATTATGCCTCTAAATCATTTTGAAAAAGAATGGCCGCAAAATTTAAAAAGTAGGTCACCGTGACCTACTTTTGAGTCAGCTTGATATGAGGTCCTTAGATGCATCAACTGACAAGATTTGATGATCCTAGTCCTTATAGTAAACAAAATATCAACATTTAAATAAAATGTATTTTTTGGTCAACTTTGAAGTGACCTTGAGACCACGCCCTTTGCCCCAGGGTGATGCCTTGAACAATTTTTAATCTACAACATATCCTCATCCTTTTGTGTAAGTTTGGTGATAATCTGCCCAGTGGTTCTTGAGAAGAAGATTTTTTAGCAACCAGTACTTTTGTTTCTATTTTCCTAATTATCTCCTCTTGTTTAAGGGTCACAACCCTAGTTTTAGTATAAAAGGGAGCCCTTGGGCCAAGGATACCCTATTACAAATTTGACAATAATTGGCCAAGGGGTTCTTGAGTTATGGCCCATATTCTAAAAAGTTTACGCACACCGCACAAATGGCCATAGCATTAGCTCTTTGAGCCTTTGGCTCAGAAGAGCTAAAAACAAAATTGTTGTGATCAGTCCAAAACTATCATCTCAATCTTCAAACAATGCAATTACAGAGTATTTAAGTAAAAGTTAAATGCATGTACATCTTTGTATTCAAACATTACACTTTAATTTTTCCAGATATCAAATTTTTGGAATATTGTTTGAAATCAATATCACAATCACACCATTTCTACCCATTAAAGGAGATCCATCCTGCAACTGAAGATCATTAGAGGACCCTGTAGACTGGCCACTCGTCTTCCTTAACTGAGATTCTCTACAAAAAACATTACTTCCCTGTTTGTTACTTTAGATTACAAGTGTTTTAATTTCAACAAAAATTTCTGAAGTGTTATATTTCTTTAAGTTGTACACGTTTTTGTTTAAAACAATCTTAAATAATGAATAATTTACAAAATATGAAAAATTTCACAAAACAAAATTAAAATTTTGTATACCTTGAAGATATATAGGGCTCGAACACAAAAGCATCCTCTTTCATGGGTACATTAGTGGGGGACATGGAAACACTGCGAACAAAGGCCCCATACTGAGAGCCTGGCTGGTAGCTCTCACTGGCCTCGTACAGATTTTGGTATTGAACAGGGACAGGGGCTGTCACAGTGTGTAGAAGATGAAAGTAATCCACCGTCACCTGTATAATACATCAAAATACGACAGTCAGGAACAAAACTGGACTGTATTATCTAAAATACCATATGTACGACAACACTTACGGTTTTTATAACTTGGTCACACAGCAAAATCTGCTCTCTGATCTTTGACAAAAGTTCACTCTACAAGTATAACATTTCATAGATATGTTATAGACTATTTCACAGAACAGTTTATTACAAGGTACGGTATCCTGTTCACTGCCTTCTATTTAATCTAAATTTTGTACCTTAGTTTTGGCTAGTTCTTGCTGTTTGGAGTTGGCCTCTGCCACACATGCTTTGTATGTCGTCTCTGCCTCTGCTGCCTAGAAATCACACAAAATCAATCTGTATTAATTTTTAAACAAATCCAGAACAAGACAATGCTCCTATAAATACATCAAGTTAATTTCCTAAGCCTTCTTTACCTTGTGCATAGCATCTTCCTCCACTTTCTTCTTTTTGTCCATTTTACTGAGTACACTACTGCTGTTGCTCTTGTCTAACAAGTCCGACTCCACCTTACTGGATTGTTCCCGGGCCTTCTCATACTCCTGTTTCCTCATTATGTACATAGAATGGGACTTCCTCAGGCTGTTTACTGCCTCTTGCTGATAAAAACATGAAATCATTTTATCAACTCTTGTAAGAAGAGAGAATATGTGTCATAATTCTAGAAATGATGGTTTTGACAGAATTACTGATAAAATAACAAAATATCATTTTCATTATCCAAGTACCAGACATAAAATAAAATAATGCCTTGTCTCTATCACTTCATTTTGTACTGAATAAGGCTTTCAAAAGAATACTGTACATGTAAGAAAACACATATATATTGCATATGACTTCCTTTTATTAGGAAAGTTACATGTATTTACCATTTTCTTAACTTCTTTAACCCAGGTGTCTTTAATCATTCTTCTCATCTTGTCATGCTCTATCCTCCTTGTGGTTAGTGGCTGTTGATTAAGAAGAAGAAAATAATTTACTATATGCAAGAGATACAGAGAGAGAGAGAGAGAGAGATACAGATACAGAGAGAGAGAGAGATTGTTTATTTCTGTCATACCTCCACAAATTTAGCTGACTGAACTAGGGCCTGAGTGGCTTGACAAGTATTGGCATATTCAATATCCTACAATACAAAGACACAATGTTATAGAGCAGCAAGTACTTATCAGCATTCAACCACGTCATGTTTCCCATGAAATACTATTCAGACATTCCAGTTACTTAACTGAATCTTTAATACCTACCATATAAAATCTGAAACTTTATATTTAACAAATTGCGTATAACCATCTGAATCTTTAAAAATGTTGTAATTTGTGAAAAATATATACAGACACACAAATAAACAGATAATTTGAACAACTCTACATTTTCATGGAGTATTTTCCTGACTTACTTGTGAGATCACTGTAGAGAACACAGACTGCAGAGGTAAATAGTCCTGTAAAAGAAAAAAGAGGCCCTCAAGCTACAATGCTCACCTGAGTAACATGTCCCAGAGAAATGAAATCACACTGTAGGCCACTAGCATTATAATTTGACAAGTTGTAGCTTTGTATTTCTTTGAGATTTTAGTCATTCCTGCATACCCTTTCAAAATCTCACTAGACCCTTTTACACTTTAGTTAAGCTTGTAATAAGTTACTTTTCAGGGTTTGTGAATAAATTGAAGATTTTTATAATACCCATTCCTATTTTTATGTAATTATCATCCTTTTGAGGAAAACTACATTCATTTGTAATTATTTTTTTAAATTAATTCATAAGTCAAAATGTTCTGTAGAATAATTATTTAGGTGAAGGATCTACAATACATAGGGAGGTACAACCTTGCATAAGAAATGTTTATGCAAGCCTTTAGATAAGATGGAGCAGAATAGAGATAAGCAAAAGTCATTTCTACAATTTGCAAGGCTTTGATAATTTTGTTTCTGAAAAGCCATATGACATGCGAGACAAAGAAATAGAAATTCAGTGTACATTATTCTGTCATTAACTAAAATACAATCACCATAATTACCTCTTCCGAAATGACAGGAAGCATATTGTTTGCCAATCGAAGAAGATTCTTGGAGTAATCAGTTTCTGTAAAATCAATCCAAATACAATAAATAAGTTTTCTTGCCTCTCAATATGGAAACTTACTCTTGTCCAATACAAAATTAGGCATGTCAATGCAACAGAGGAGAGCAAAAAACTATCCTTGACTTCAATTCAAAGTGTCAATGATCCAGGAAGTAAATCCAATATATCCTTCTTCAATGAAGTCCGAGGGAATTTTTTTTTTATAATGCACACTAGACAGCCAATAGCCATTTAAGGTTACTCTCCAAGATCTGATATATGATTTTATTCAATTTGCATAGCTTACCTAATTGAGTTTTTTTCTCTATATATGTTGTAATTTCTTTCATGTACTTGGACCATGCTTTGGCCCTTTGCATTGCCAGGTCGACTCCAGCTTGTAATCGAAGAAGCACTGTATCAATTTCCTCAGGATTCATCACTAATGGGTAAAATAAAACAGAAACAATAATCCACACAACGTCAAACAAAATATTTCAGGATATGGAGCACTTCACAATTGCACAAAAATTTATAAAGACAGTTAAACATTTTTTTTATGTTAGCAATTCCGCTTTTTAAGGAGGATGAGAGCTTTCCTGATGATGCAGTTTCATGTTAAATTGCTTTGCAGCAGTCATCAGTAAGTGAGATGACAGAAGCTGCAGACAACAGATTCATTAGCTGTCATGCCACTATCACAATTACATACAATGTAAACCTGCTTTATCATTTCATCTCACTAAATGAAAAGGTCAATGTTACCTCTTGGGACTAATCTGATATGCCCTTTGAGGACAATGCCTAGTTTCTATATAAAACAATTACATCCTACTACTGGTGGAATTCTTCCTCAGTAGGACAGGACTCTTGTCTAGCTGTCTGAATGCCTCACACTATTAGATTTTGTTCTGGGTAACAATAACTTACTGTCTTGAGTAGCCTGATCTGCAGCACATAACCCGGAAGTCTTCTCCAACTTCAGAAGATCTCCATAAGACTATATCAATAAATATTAGGAAATTTAGAAGTCAACCATTCAGATCAGGAAATTAAAAATACAAGCACAGTATTCTTCTTAGAAGGAAGAGGTACCAATGAATGTATACATGTTCTTGATAGCTGATGAAGAATGATGGAACCATTAATGAATAACTTTGTGTTAACCAAAATAGAATTACATTCTCTCCCTCTCTCTCTCTCCTGCATCCCTTACCCATTTTGAAGCAAAAGAAAACTCTAATGATGACATAAATTATAGTGTTTAACGCACCTCAACACATACCATCTATATGTTAATCAAAGTATCTTTGCATAAAACAGTAAATCTACAAATTTCTGTGTAATTTACCCACAAAAAATACTTATGACCACCTAATACATCACCCCAAGGGTAATCATGATGCAGAAAAATACCAAAACATATTGTTCAATGTTGTTGCCTTGATGTCGCAAGTTTATTAACTCACATTTAAAGTTTCTAAGAATAAATCGATGCTTTAATTTCCAAGTGGCAGTGATTGGAATTAGCATATCTACCGTATATACTCGCCTATAAGTCGGTTTTTTGGGAGTTAACTTTTGGTCCAAAACTCTATGTCCGACTTATAGGCGAGTCATCAAATGCTTGGTATTTTTCTGGACGACGAAATGTAGTATTTTTTGCATTACTTCAACGATTACAGTTGAGAAATGTCTGGACGTATTATTATATTATTTATGTATTCTAAGATTATATATAAAGTAAAAGTATTTACATGTTTTAATGATTTTATTTTGATCTTAATTGTATATTATTTATTGATTAATTATTAACAAAAATATTTCTTTGATTAACTTGTGACTTACTGTAAATCTATCGTTTATCGGTAAAATGGAATTGCAAACCCGATATAATACGTTTAGCATTAATGTATAATTATATGTACCGTCTGCAATGTTTTTGACAACAGATATGATATTCTTAAAAAATAATTCAGAATATTATTCTGGAGTCTATTAAAACTCGATTGTTTATGAAAATGCTTCCCATGTGTGGTACACAATTTTCTCAGGCCGCGTGCCACTAAATAAACATGGTGTCAGGTAAGGGATACAGGTATTTAAGAGACGATAATTGCTAATAAAAGACCAAACATAGCGCTATTAAAAAATATAGATATGGCTTGGACATTGAGCACCTCCTAATTAAATATCATCAAAATGTTGGTATACTCGTTACATAGTTCATCACCATGCCAAAGAAACAGAGATCCGCCAATGATCGAGATCGGTGTATAAAATATACAAGACAAGGGATTTAACGCTTAAACAAAACAGTATAGAAAGAAACTAAAATGGTAGTGGTTTGGTTTGTTGAAAAATAAAAATATTAATTACCGATGTCATATCCTAACATATTATTTGAACACAGGTAAATACATTAAAGTATTGATATGATATTTATAAGAGAAGAAAAAAGAGAGATAAAATATCGGCGTAATTTCTTAAAATATTATTTGAAACACATGTTAAAACATTAGAACATTGATTTGAAATTGTCCACCGATCCTGGCAAAAAGTTATACCGACTTATAGGCGGGTCAATGGCAAATCCCTCCAAAATAACCTCAAAAATCATCACCGACTTATAGGCGGACCGACTTATAGGCGAGTATATACGGTATTAAAATTTTTTAACAATCTATGAAATTCTTAACAAAACCAAAATTCTGCATTAAAAAATTTCACATCAGCATATTTATTTCAGTTTGGCTTTGTCAAAAAGGCTGAAGATAATAGTAAAAAGATAAGCAAAGCTCAAATCAATAATGAACAATTTTGCAAAATGTTCCAACAACTTTCAGATGTTGCCTCTTGAGTCACATGTGTACTCTGAGAAATCCAAATGGCATGTAAATAAGTGTGTAAATGTGTAAATAAAAGACCAAGTACAATTATATTTTTACTTTCATTTTTTTTTAAACATCAAATTATGATGTAAGGATGCACAGGTAGTGTAATAACTGAAGGCAGAACCAGAATATATTTTGACCCTCTAAAAAAAAACTCCCAAAAGTTTACTTTAAAGGATCATAATGACCCCTTGTTTTTAACATCAGTGGAAACACTCAAAAAATGCATTCAGGAATTACAAAAGGGGAAGGGTTACAATTTAATGCTTTTAAAACCTTATGAAGGTAAGCTAAAAGAAAAACTGCAAGTAAAACTTACCTTTGTTTTGTCCACTTTCTCCTGCTTCACTAATGCTATGTTCCCCAGGTCCCCCATCAGATACTCTGACACACTGAAACAATTTACAACCACATGTAACCAATCTATTGACTATATATTTTCCTAGATAGATATTATAGATCAATAATTTATATATGACAATAATGCATTCAAGATACTTCAGCAACAGTTTGACATTTTCTACATTTACCCACCTGCTGCTAAAAGCCAGAGCCAGTTGGTCAATTGCTTCACAAAAATTATGTTCAGCTATGGAGGCAGGAGATTCACTATAGTCATGTGCTGAAATGATAACATGTTACTATCTCAGTATATAATATCAAGATACACATTTCATAATGCAGATTTTCTCTCTCTCTCCCCCCTCTCCCTCTCTCTCTCCGGTGATCGTAATAAAAAGGGAAACACTCATTGTGAATTTTCTAATGTAAGAAAAATTTAAAAACAAGCCACATACTTTTAATTTTGCTGATTAGGGCTGCAGACGATGAGAACAACTCTGTTGATTGAAGAGCAGGATATTTATTCAGAATGTTCTTCAAGATGGCCAGGACTTCTCCCAGACGAGAATGGGACATAACTCTGAGATCTTCTCCAGACCCTGAAACATGGTCAAAACAAAACAAGGTGAGAAACTTAGGTGTGTGTGCCATTTAATGCTTGATTTTTGATAATAAGTTCAGGGATTTTCCTAATCGCAGCATTGTATTTGTTCAATAAAACATGCATACTTTCTCCAGAAAAATTTTAAGTCAATCACCGATCAGCAGTGTTCAGAGATGGTTTGCTGATAAAGGTGTTTTATCTTTGGCTTTTATCTTACAATTTTTTTTCACTTGTAATTGTTTATTATTCAGCTTTACCTGCCTAGATATTCTGCTCTGTAAAACTTTTACAGTAATTGCCTTTTCATGTCAAAATGACAACTGCATGAGCACACAACTTTTGTCCGAACTGATTCTCAAAATACAGTATTTTCCAAAAATTGCCTTAAGTATGCCCAACCTTTGTTTTCTTAACAACCATAAAATATAACCAATTGTTGTCTTGTTTGATTCAGGTAAAATTGAGTGCCTAACTCTGTAACCTTGACAATCGTAAACTTCCTATTAACAAAGGTTTGTGGCTTTTGATCTGAACAATAAAAAACAACTCTTATATCTTAAACACTTTAAAAGTTCCAATATAAACTAGACGTAAAGTTTAAATTAGCAGTTGATGACTAATTATGCAGAGCCCTTAAACTAAATACTAAAACATTACCATATCAATCACATTGATCATTATTCAGATGTTATAAAAATTATGCTTTTGAAAATAAACCATTTTAAACCCTTTTTATTAAATTCTTATTACAAATAATCTTTTATTACCTGCAAAGTCTGTAAAGATAGTTTTAAGGTGGGAGAGGCCATCTGAGAACAATTTGACTTGTTGAGTGAGGGCCAATATATCATCTTGGTCCACAGGGCCAGCAGTGGCCTTCTGATTATTGTTCAAGTTTGACAAAGACATGCTCTTGGTCATCTTCTGTCCGAGCGAACTCTGAGGGTTGGGGTTCTCTCCAGCTCCCCTTGGCATGCACTTCTCTGGTCCCTGATAATTCAATTTTATCATAGAAATATCAAAATACCATAAAATACAATGTTTCATAGATTGTGAAATGATGTATCTTGCAAATTTCTATAGTCCATTCCTAATCAGTCAATCTCTTCAAAAGTACAACATTTAAATGCAAAATTATGGACTGCATTGCCTTTTACCTGACATTAAAACTGATATATGCTGCACTTTATCATTAAATCTTTAAAAAAAAATTGAAGCTACGTACCTTTAATTTATAAGAAATACAGGTACCCAGTAAAAAAGCAAGATGAACGTTTACCTGTATTCAAAGTGTATTTTCAAATTTCTTATCATTTTCACTACATAAAATGGTCATTAAATCAATTACCCTCTAGGACCATTTAAAATCTTGAACAAATAAAGAATGTAAACTAACGATTTATATAATGACTTCACAATCACTTCAAGATATGGGGGACAGTAAAGCAATGTTTGGACTTCACACAGTTTACAAGCATTGAGAGCTGGCCCTTTTACAGGCCTATCATCCAGTCACACTCTAACTGTCAACCCCCACATCTCTGATCAGTGATCTATGAAGCTGAATAAAAGCTTTGCTCATTAAATTCACAAGGTACATCCTAATCTCACTCTACAATGTACATTAACATCAAATTAACCCAGCATTTCCTACAAACATTATTTCAAAAGTTAAACATTTGTAGACCTGACACGTAATCAATACTTGAATGTTTATTGAACCATTATTTACAGATTGGTCAAATCGAACAAGTCACATTTGCATGTTTATATACTCTGCTAAATTGTCTGTTTGCATGTTTATGTCTCCTGCTAAATTGTCCACACTGAAAATACAGCCATAAACATCCCTCTCATTGATTTGTACAAGTGAATAATTGGGAAGGTATCTGTTTACAAAGGTGACATGCTGAACCACAGAAGAAAAAACCAAGATAAATTATGGATGTGTCATTCAGAGTAGAGATTTTCTACTAAGTGGAATTTGGTCTTCAAAATGATAAAATACTATATAATTTTAAAATGGACTTTTTTTCAATTTTTCAAAAACTCAACAGAAATATTTATTAAATAATAATAAATATATCATGCCACTCAAGTATGACAGTCAATATCCCTTCTAAGTATTTTATCTCTAAGCATTGTGAACTTTTATGCTAATATCTATTGAAAAAAAAATGTATCCTTCTACATTAAATTCCATTTCTGCTTAGCAATACCCTATAAACTGCATCTACACACACTTAAGACTATTTTTAGTTTTGTCATCATTGCTACAGTATCAAGTATATTTTACACAATTAGGGAATGCATTCTGTATGATATTGATAAAGCACTGATGAGAGCATTTCACCATTAACACATTAATGCACCATGAGAAATATAGTATGTTGCTAACACTACTTGGCTCAAGATTGACACTAGAGTAAGTGAGTGTAAAAGATATAGAGTTTTAAAAAAATCACCTGAAAAGTCAGATAAATGCTAAAATAATATTTTCTAAAGCCCCACCCATGATTTGACTTTTGATCCGCCACATAAATATAATATCTCTAAAGTATGTTTCATAGTTTGGTCCTTTAGCGAACGTTTCATGCTTTAAATCAATTACAACACAATAAATGTGGACAAAGTTTTCATTTTAAGTTACAGACATTGTCATGCATATACCTTTTGTTCCACTGCTTCGAGACTTGGTATTTTCCTGCCTGATGCTAATTCCTGGCGTTCCAATGCGGACATTATGAAAACGCCTTGAAAATCTCAGCACAAGCACCATAATTATCGAGTATTTCCATGTCAATTACATTTATACTGGTCTATACAACGCTTAAAACTGCTATATACAAAAGTTCATAACTTTGACAGAACTTCCAAAACTTAAAGAAGTCGGCCATCATTCGACCGGAAATGAATTAGTCACGTGACCTCTCTAATACCTTTTGAAAGGTAAAGGCCTTATTAGCTTACCTATAGATTAGCGGGGCTAATCAAAATTGCAATACGTCAGATTAAATTTTTGCATTTGTCCTGCGTAGCGTTGTGGATGCGTTTCTCATGTTATTCATCGTGTACTATTCTATAATATATGGGGGTTTTTTTAAGTGAGCATTTTTGAAAAGCAGCTCTGACTATTTAAAATTGTCATTTATAATTTAGAAAACAACAATTAAACACACAATATATATTATATACACTGTTACTTCAGTTACACACAGATGTCGTTAATTTGAAACATTCATAAATTCAAGTAAATTACCTTGAACATTAAGCATAAATTTAATTTCAATCATAAATTTAATGATAAAAATTTTTATTTTTTATTTAATCATACATTTCTTAATTTTTTTGTTTTTTGTTTCTCGGTGTAAAAGAATGTGAGTTGTGATGATTCAATGATACCCCTCCCTTTTTGTAGAAATGACCCTTAATAATCTGTTAAATCACACCTTGATTCTACTGGGGTTTTTTTTTTGTTGCTGTTTTTTTTTCCTCAAAATATTTTTGAAGACTTGGTTCCCTCCTCGGTGACAACTGCAATAACGGGCCTTGTAAACGGGAAATTCACTAATTTAATCGGAAATTTACTACTTCAACCCAAATAATCTGACTCGTTTTGAACAACTCAAACGAACATAACTCATTTATATATATATATATTACCTTAATAGGCACAGAAGCGCTGTTACAAGTGCAGTTTCATTGATTGATGTTCATTTTACGACTTAAACTTCTTCCTCGACTTGAGTCTCATAAATCTGCAGTTGAGGCTATCTGGTTAAATCTACACAGATAGCCAAAAACCAAACAACAACAACAACAAAGAAACAAGATGTGTTTGTGAAACACTGATGCCCCCGTATGGCAGCTTATGGTGAAGGTTAAAGTTTCTTCAAATGCAAGTCAAAATCCAGGCCAAAAGATAAAAAATGTTGATACCCAAAGAAAGGTCTTGTCTCGAGGAATACACCTGTGGAATTTGAAAGACCTAGATACAACTGTTCAAAAGTTATGGCGAATGTTAAAGTTTTTAAATAAAAGTCAAACGTCAAGGTCAAGGTCAAAGTGGTTGGTATCCAGAGGAAGATCTTATCACAAGGATTACATATGTGAAGTATGAAAGCCCTAGTACCAACCATTCAAAAGTTATGGCCAAGGTTAAAGTTGTTCAAAAGTAGGTCAAACTCCTAGGTCAAGGTCAAAGGGTCAAAGTGGTTGATATCCAGAGGAAGGTTTTGTCACAAGGAATACACATGTGAAGTTTGAAAGCCCTAAGCACCAACTGTTCAAAAGTTATGGCCAAGGTTAAAGTTTTTCAAAAGTAGGTCAAACTCCAAGGTCAAAAGGTCAAAGTTGTTGGTATCCAAAGGAAGGCCTTGTTACAAAAAATACACATGTGAAGTTTGAAACCCCGAGCTCCAACTGTTCAGAAGTTATGGCCAAGGTTAAAGTCTCAAAAAATTTTGCAAAAGTGGGTCAAACTCCAAGGTCAAGGTCAAAAGGTCAAATATGATGGTACCCAAAGAAAGGTTTTGTCACAAGGAATACACATGTGAAATATGAAAGTCATAGCTCCAACCAATCAAAAGTTATGGGCAAGGTTAAAGTTGACAACAGACAGACAGACAAACAGACAAACGGACAAACAGATAAACAGACAAACAGACAGACAGGACAAAAACAATATACCCCCGGGATCTTTCGATCCGGGGGCATAATAAAACAAACAACCCCCCCCCCCCAAAAAAAAACAACAGCAACAACAACAAAACTAGGGGTATATGAGCAATGGGTTCACAAAATGCGCCCCCCCCCCCCCCCGCTCCACTAAAAGTATAATGGCAAAATAAAAAAAGGGAGGTGCACAATGACACTATGTGATTTAGATTCTGGAAAACAGATGCATGGGCACTACATAGTATTACGTACACCCGTATCACTATATACCCCCTGCTTTTCAAGGGGGGGGGGGATAATAAGACAAATCACAAATAATAATCTATACTTATAAATTAATAAATTTTGCAAATAAACTCCGAAACGGGTGCACCAGAGTTCTTACTTACTCCTCTAACAATACACTAGATACAAGATGATGTCCGTAAACTATATTTAGATTTCACTCGCAAAGTAAGTTTCGTACATTAAATTAAAAGTCTACTTTTATTTTCTATAAACAGCCATGAATTAGCAAAAACGTGAGTACGGTGGCGTTTCCGGTTGGCGGATCTAAGTTGCTGGCAATTTTTAATGAAACTGACACGAGCAATCGTTTATTTATTTCATAAAACGTCATCACTGAATTATTCAATCAAAACTTGATTTAAATGATATAAAAGAAATAAGTTGTGATAACCGATTAAAAAGGGAAATGTGTAAATTATTTTCGTCATTCACCGATCTTAATATTGACGGAAGCTTCTAGAACATCATATAGCATCGAGCCCGATGTTTAAAAAAAACGAGGTGCATATAGCTGCATAACATAAAAAAGGCTTTTGTGTGATTGGTCATTGAAATAATGGTAAATCATTGATAACACTATAAGTTGTGAATATATTTATATATCGAAAGACTATTACCTATATATATATATACATGTATGTAGTAGGTTTTCCTAATAAATTTATCGGTAAAATTTGTAACATGAAACATTTTTTGAAACATTTTATATATTCCTTACTGAGAGCATCGTGGCAAGGAACCCGAAGTACAATTTGTACTTCGTAATAAAATTGCTTACATGTAAAGAGAAAATTAATAAATAAGGTATTGTTCAAAAACAATTAAAGATGTAAAATTTTGTGCTTTAATCAATACATTTCATTTTTTTTTTCTGAAAACAGTCTTTTGTATCAAATACTCGGCCTATTCATAGGGCGTTAAAAGCTAATTTTACACAGGTACTTGAGTCTTGGTTTATAAATATGTATGTACCTTATTGATATGTAAAAAAAGTAAAGTACATTATTTACATATCAGTAAGGTACAAACATATTTATAAACAAAGACCCAAGTACCTGTGAATTTTGACCCCCCCCCCTCCCCCCAAATCAATTTATCAGTAAAATGTGCATATTCACTGCTTTTATTCTTGACGGAAATGAAATAAGAGCATCTGAAGTACAATATCCATAACATAGTATAAGAGGTTTCACAATAAACGTCAATTAATGAAATTGTTAATTTTCAAGTTTTTACGGGGGGGGGGGGTACATCTACTTCATGCGGGAATTTGAACAAAGTATTTCTTCCTGCTATATACCTGTAGGCTGTCAGTAGAAACTACAAAATATTTTCTGTCGGTAGTAGTATGAATTCAATTCCCCGCGCTTGCGCGGGATTTCATCTAGTGCCTTTTAGAAAAATAAGCACGATTGAGTTAGCTATGACAAAGTATGACTCATGCTGAGTAAATCAACTAGGATAATACAGTTTGAGTTAAAATTCTCACAGCTAGCTGTGATTTTTACTTTGTAAAAATTATTTGAGCATATAGTTTTATTCTTCTCCACTCCACTTGTGTTCTGGGAATTTCTGGAACTTGTAGCATGTGCTATGCATTGTTTTGTTGGACATCCAAAGAAGTTATACTTTATCTTGGGTTTTGAGGACTTTACTAGCGATATACTGGGAATTACTTCTGTGTTTAAAGCCCTTTTTCCACCATGTAACCGAGTTTTTCGTAAGGTTAAATAATAACAATAAAGTCTAATGAAGTAAGGGTTGGTAAAACATATATCATTCGTAAAAGGCATGCGTGTTTATATATACGTATACATCTGAATGTATATACTATATATAATACCGGTATTCGCACAAGGAATTAAATTATTTGTCAAAATTCTAGAGATTCATTTAGCTAACTGGATCCCTTATACATTTTGAAATGTTTTAAAACAGTTAACTAATTATAGGATAATCGGAATAATACACAAAAATGTAAGCAATACATACAAGTGTCTCGTTTATTCAAGAATTGTACATTATTGTTACAGTGTATACAAAATTACACTATTTTGAGAAAATTTAATCAGGAATTAGATCTAGTTCACGTTCATCCTTGTGAAGTCATTTAGTTTGTTAATACCGTGCATTAGGGTGGAATGACTTCAGTCTGTGCATCCAGAACTTTCCCTTACTTTTTCTCTGAGAGTCTGTCCATCTTTGGTTATCTTACATCCATTATCTTTCAAATTGTTTCTTTTCATCATTTATAGTTATGTTATTTAAAAATAAATGTACAATTTAAAACTCTGTCTTAATTAATTAGCGATAATTAATTCGTTAATTTATATGTAAATCGCACTTTGTCAGACTGAATGTATTTCATTTAAAGAGGTCCGGAATTATTTCAAAGCATTTGATTATCAACTTATTTCAAAGCACTGATTATCAACTTTTAATATAAACATGTAAATATGTAAATATATAGTGTTTGGTAGTTTACTTGTAGTGCTAGTTGTTTTTGTTTCCTTTGTTTTTACGACTGTTTAACTTTTTCTTTGTCCCGAACATATATTAGAGAGAGAGAGAGAGAGAGAGAGAGAGAGAGAGAGAGAGAGATTGAACTGTTGACGTGATAGATATCTTAGTTTATAACACGGTAGCCATATAATCACACCTGTGTGTATTGTCAAGAAAATATATTGTAACAAAATAACAAAATTATTTGACATGGACTTATTCAAGGAGTTTACGGCTGGACTTTTAGATAGACAAAATGAAAGGAGACAGAAAGAGGCGGAGAAATCCAAATTTCGGCTTTAAGAAAGGAAATACTATATTAAGGCCTGGCAAGCCAAACTCCGTGATCCATTTTCTCAAAGTGCAGATACAGATGTCCAAGATATAGATGACGTACCCCTCAGGTCGCATTCGAAGTTAGATTCACCAAAATGGATTGAGAATGGAGGGGTACGTGTATATATTAATCAATCATTTATTTGAATCTCTTCACCATTTTACAATAGTGTATAGAGACTTACAACATATGGGTGATTTAATACATATCATCAGCATGCGTGATAAAGAACAAAAATTAGTACGTTGCTATAAATGTGAAGTATGGGAATTCTAATATTAGGAGGTGAACATTCGTACCAATCATCAAGTGCAAATTAAAAACTGAAAAGGTGTTTTTTCCCCATAAAGTCTAAATTATTTGATTTTTTAATTTTTTTTTTTCCGCAAATTCATTGTGATCGATTTTTAAATTGTGAGAGTAAACTATTTCAATTGTTTTGGAGCAGTACTGTTAACCCGATGAAACCGTGTGGTCTTTCAAAACTCTACGATGGATTATCTCATATAAAATTTTTACGGACCGAAACATGCCCCACACAATTATTATTATATATACTTTGTGAATGGTTGGACTTTCATAAGTTGTCTTTTTCCCCCTGAAGCGAGATTCTGATGTATATATATATATTGTTCAAATTAGAGAAAATTTATTAAATGTATTTAAAAATACATAAGTGTTGATGATCAGATAACGCGTTTATAAATTTTTCAAAAGGCGCCTTCTAAGTATGTAGCGTAAAGACGCAGTTCAGTTTTTCTGGGTTTTTTTGTTTCTCTCTCTCTCTCTCTATAAATATATACATTTTATTTTCTCATTTATGTATTTTTGGGGTGTTTTCTAAACAGGTACGCTGATCACAATTAAATATAAAACTAGCCACCATTTAACTCTCGTTTTAAGGAAAATGTTCGATAGGTTCAAAAAAATGTTGCCTACTTTCTTCGGGCTCGTTAAACGCAAAAAATCGCACCCATTAACCTTATTGGTTGAAGACGCTCACACCCTTGTGTACAAGGTCAAGGAGAAACGATGTCTGTAAGTCAATAATTATTATTTTTAATATTGCGTGGTAAAGGTTTTGTTTATTTCTTATCATTTCATTTTTGGATTTATTTTATTCATCTGCTAAATTTACTGTTAAAAAATCCATGTAGATCTAACAGATCAAATATGATAAACAGGTTTTATCCAGCAGGATCCAGATTTACAACAGTGATTTGGCGGATCTAGTTGAAGTAACTTTTGTCATTGTGCCAAATAAAATAAATATTTTATTATTTTGTATTGCTTATATCTACCAATCCACCTTCCGTTATGTATATCTATTTAATTGTCACATAAAATTGAACTGTATGTAATCAGTGAATTTATTTTGTCATTTTTTTAATGGACAAAGTTTAGATAAATTGACTTACTATAATTTTAGTCTTGTGAAGTTTTATCAATTGGTATAAATAGATACAGTATCATATGATTTTCCTTCACCACTTTTTTAATAGTCATATAGAGTTTTATATCTGTAGCATACCCTTTCAAGATTATTTAAAGCTAGATTAATTAATTAATTAAATGCATGCACACTGTTATGTACACATTTTAAAAATTTGGTTGTTTAATAATTTCTTATAATGAAGATTTGTATTCATCTGCAACTTATTGAATTATACAATATTAGTAGATTATTCATGTATGGAGGTTTACCTCTCAAATAATGCTAACTTTTTTTATTGAAATTTTATGTTTGGCAGAAGAGGAAATCAGAGGGAGCACCAGGGAGTGCTTCAAAAGGTAAAAAGTCCAAGGAACTGGAAGGACCCAACTCCAGTATAAGTCCATCAGTCTGTAATGGCACTGACACAGAATACATCAAAGATCCATTTTGTGATCCAGACAATCCAAAGAAAATCCAGTTCCAGGACGTCAGTGCAGCTGCATATAAGATTAAAGATGGCATTCACCGGAGTCCATGTATTGTAAGACATACAACTGTATGATGCAAGATTACATGTATAATCACAGTGTACCCTTTATCCTGTTTTATATACTGGTATTATGTTGTTGTTTTTTTTCTCTGAAGATGTAAATTTGCATATTGGTTTTTTTTTTTTTTTTATTACTAGAAATAAATTAATTATAATAGACATACTCTTCCAAAATATATTGCTTTTGGGACTGGGATTTAATTCAGGAAAAGTTATTCAATGGATTTTTCTCTTGCTGTATTTAATATAATAAACTTCAGGTAGTTTGTGCTTTAAAAGTAAGTTTACTCTCTAAACTCTGGTCCCCCAAATTAATTTCCGATTCATAATACATGTCCTGTATTTCAGAAATCTAGAATGTCTGCTATGGTGAATATGGATATCTATTTCAAGAAAGAATTCCTGCAGTTTACAGGAAGGTAACATGGATGTTTGAAGTGCACTAGCACTCTAGAGTAGTATATACTGACTGTTATATCCTGATACTTCAGAAACATTCAGATAAATGGTTAAAATGGGTTTTTTTCTGTTTCACTTGTGTTTTATTATGTAACTTTATTCTTTTAAAACTTTTTCCTACATTGAGGGCTATTGTTTAATTGAAATTTTAATTTGAAGATGTGTCTTTTAAATAACTTTACATTTCTAATTATTATTTTTTCTGTTTTTAGCTTCAAAGAAAGAGGAGCAAGATATGCTCTCATGCAGCTATCAAAAGTAAGGAAATATGATGTATTTGAATTTCATTATACACTTTGCAATGGCCAAGGAATGAATTGTCTCCCTTTTGGTGTGATTTACCAAACTGGCGAAAGAAGTAAAAACTTCAAAGACTCCTCTCTGTTTTATATTTTAAAACCCATATAGATACAAAAGACCTTCTGAGGTGAAGTTAAATTCACAAAAGAAATTTGATTTTTTAAAAATATTTTATAAATGCATGTTTTTAAAATAGATGCTCTTGGGTTGTTTAGATTTTGATATTTATACCGCAGGAACAGAAGGAGATAGGAGTTATAGCAGCCAGTGCTGGTAACCACGCCCTGGCTCTGGCTTATCATGGACAGTGTCTGGACATCCCAGTAACCGTTATCATGCCCATCATAGCACCTATGATGAAAATCCAAGCATGTGTTAGTTACGGAGCCAATGTCATTATCAAAGGCAATGATATCTCAGAGGTTAGTGAACAGAAATTTGTGATGAAACTGCTATCCTATGTTATATGACTACATGCACAGCTGTCAGTGAAGTCCTACATTGTTCTTTATATAAAATGATCAGGAGTTTTGATGCTCTCTGTTTGGTCCAGATACACTCTTTCCCGAATTCCTGAGGTGTACCTCAGATTGAGTTCACCTCAAAATGACGTTCTTGGAGGTTATTTGGGTTTTCCCTTTTGACCAACCAAAGATTTGCATACATTTTTATCAACAAATCAAATCCATTTAAAGAATGTGACATTGAAGATGTAAAAATGACTGACATAGTATCAAAGAGATTAATTTCATTCATTAGGAAATGGTTAAATTGAGCAGTTAAGCAGTTCTTAACCTGTTGAATTATTATTATATCCTCGGAGGTCCATGAGTTGTTACCCTAATTTGATTATGTCTGTTTTGCAAATAAAATTGAAATACTGTTTCAATATTTAAATAACACCTTAGTTATAAATATTTTTTTCTTTCAATTGAACTGATCATTTAGAAAAATATTGCCTTCATTGATTGTTTACATATCGTGCGAAGTACCGATGTTTACCAGGTCCTAGGGTCATGACCTCAGCGGCAATTTCATTATAAATGGCCAATAATTCCTATTTAGATATGTGACTTCTGTTAACATAATGTAAAAAATGCATACAGTAGCACCAATATACTTGAGATAGGTCGTAAGAAAAAATATTTTAGACTCTCTTTTCAAAGGTATACTGTAATAGCGAGTTTATGCTAAGTGAAGTGAAATTTTGTTTCAGACCATATTTTTTATTTGTTTTGACCTTATCATCGTCAGCAGTTGTCAACTATGACAATAGCAATACAAATACAATTTTCTAACGATGTTTAGTGCAGCAAGGGACACAATCTTGCAAAATACTAGAGGAAAATAAAAGGGGCACAACTCTAGGACTGTAACGAATTTAAGGCCTCCGACGATATTATGATATTTTGTTACACAACACATTATATTATTAGTGTTTATACATGTAATTGTTGAGACAAGAACTATAGGGTGAAAAATGTTATAGAATTCCTGATCATTTAATAAATGGTTTTTGACTTTTGAATTTGGTCACCTCAGACAACCAATACCTGACGAGGTCCGTATAGTCACAAGAAGACCTCATCAAAAGTCAATAATCATATAATATTGTTTTAGTGCTAGATGCTGCATCTGAGGATGTACATGTATATTTAACCAGGAGTTTAACTTCAGATTTTGCATATATGACCTTTTATCTCGTGATGAGTGAATACTGTTAGTCGATAAATTTCCAGGAGTTCTACATATAAGTTATCAAATCTGGATTTTTATACAGAATTTAAAATAAAACAACAGTGTAAATGGGTGAAACAAATGCATGTACCTTCTTATGATAAAGTCAGATATCCCCCAACAATTCAAGTAATTTGACTTTACCATGTTTCACTGTACCTGAAAAATGTAGCTTTTCAATGAAGAATCTGGCTAGGTGGTTCTTAAGAAAATGTTTTAAAAGTATAACCTTCAACAAAAGCCAGAAGTGGTTATACATGTAGGTTTATCTGTTATTACAGTTAAAGATAAATCAGGAAGTCCATTTCTTAAAAAATACTTTTATAGCTGTGTACTTAATATGTTGAGAGATGTGGCACTTATGTTTTATATATATATATATATATATATATATATATATATATATATATATATATATATATATATATATATATATATATATATATATGTATATATATATACGGTATTTTTTTTTCAGTCAAAAGTACATGCTCAGAAACTGGGTAAAGAAAAAGGATATGTTTATGTGAATGGGTATGGTTTATATTATCAATTTAAGAATTTTTTAAATTAAATTTTAACTAAAAATTCTTATACTGAAATTATATTTATATTCATGTTTTGTTCATCCTTTGTTTTGACTAGTTATGACCACCCTCACATCCTAGCTGGACAGGGAACTATGGGATTGGAGATTGTGGAACAAGTCCCTGATGTGGATGCTGTGGTCATACCTGTGGGTGGGGGAGGGCTAATCGCAGGGTCTGCCCTTGCCATCAAGAACCTAAAACCATCTGTACAGATCATTGTAAGATATATATACATCCACTGAAAATTATTTCCTTTATTTCTTATAAAAACCATTGTCGTAAATCAGTCCATAAACAACACTAAGCAAGCCACCTGCATAGATTTCTTAGCAACTGCTGTTCCATCAATTATGCATACAATGACATACACATCTATAATGCAATATTTAACATATTTAATTTACTTTGAGTGTTTTTTTTAAAAGACGTAAATATAAACAATAAAATGTCTTTCTTTGTTTGTTAGTACGGGAATTAATGTCACAGCTATTGCAGAAAAAATTCACATAACCAGCTTACATGGGTTATGTATTTTTTCTGCAACAACTGTGACATTAATTCCCATACTAACAACCAAAGACAGCATTTTATTGTTTAAATAACTTCAGCATATCTTGCAGGGCAAAATTTGACAAGAATGGCCTATTGACAATTTGATAAAGAAATAATAGTCATTTAGTTCAGTGAGAGTTACCTCTCTATTTTCAGAGTATTGATGTATTGATGAACCTTAATAGATGACAAAGAAAACATGCAGATCATTTTCCTTCACATTTTATACAAAAGTTGTGTTTAATGTGAAGTGTAACTAGGCTGGTTACAACTGTGACTTTTTTTAGGGTGTTGAGGCAGAGAGATGTGCCAGTTTCACAGAAGCATTAAAAGCTGGAAAACCAGTACGAACTACAATGGCTTCTTCTATTGCTGATGGTGAGGGATTCATGATTTTTGCTAGTTTTTTACAACTTATGATTAACACAAGTCTTGAGAATATGTTGCACTATAAAACTTACCCGAGCATTATGCTTATTTTTAGGTTTAGCTGTACCAACAGTTGGAGTGAATGCATTTGAAACGGCCAAAGACTTGGTTGATAAAGTGGTAACTGTAAAGTAAGTCAAGAGGTCATTCATAGAAAGTGACTCCATACGATGTTTAAAAAAAGCGTTTGAAGAGTGAATACCTATAAACCATCTTAACTTTGCATGTAACAAATATCTTTGAGCTTTGCAACTTCCTTCACTTTCAATATTTGCTTGCCATGAACCATTTATTGTGCATTTATGTGGAATATATCCTCAATCATAAGAATTAATAGTCGCCATTGGATTTAAATTGACAAATCAGGAATAATGGTTAAGAGTAAATCTGATTTTTCTAGGGAGGAGAATATAGCTTTAGCGATCCTGCGTCTGATTGAACTTGAGAAAGCCATCGTAGAAGGAGCGGGAGCAACAGGACTGGCAGCCATATTAGAGGGATCACTTCCTGAACTCAAAGGAAAAAAGTTAGTTTGAATTAAAAAGATTTCATAATATTTTGAAAGTGATTCTTTGTAGGCTAAACCAACTGCAAAAATATTCATTTTATTTTGCAACTTACGTCTCCTCAACATTTGAATCTTAACTAAGTATATAGGTCATAATAGGTGTGTATTACTTGCAATTGCTGAGTATTTTATAATTTATCACATTAACATGTATAAATAGGGTGGTTGTGGCACTGTGTGGTGGAAACATTGATACCACAGCCCTGGGTCGTGTGATAGAACGTGGGCTTGCTGCTGATGGACGTCTTATTAGATTTGTGGTGACGGTGTCTGATAGACCGGGAGGGATCGCCGAGCTCACCAAGCTATTGGCAGATCTAGGAGTCAGGTAATTGTATAAGATGAGATTAAGTCTTTAATAATGTTTGTGTACTGTAATTGGGAAAGCAAGAAGATGTGAAATAATCTTTTTTTTTACATTTTGAAATTAGTTTTTATATGCAACATGTTTAGACTAGATATTTATTATCATGAAAATTGAAAATATTTATTCATTTGCAGTATCAAAGATATATTCCATGAAAGAGCATGGCTGAAATCAGATGTGTTTTCAGTACAGGTAAGATTAGGGTATATATATATATATATACCGGTAGGTTCTTAGCTTATTTTACTGACTTGTTATTTCATGCGGAAGTCAAAAAATGTATTTTTATGAAATATGATGAATAATGTAAACATCATGCATTGAAGTATTTTCTTTCAACATTCATGATGATATACATACATAAAAGTTCTCTCATTGCCAGATTTCATGTTTATATTACATGTTTTGACTAAAAAGTATATTAAAATAAGGAAAGTGCTTATTTAAGTCAAAAATTCTACTTGTTTAGGTGAAGTGTGTTGTAGAGGCGAGAGATAAAGCCCACTCAGAGGAACTAGAAGCAGCTCTCAGGAAAAAATACACACAAGTGGCATGGCTGCCGATGTATTTCTGATAGCATATGCCAGTTTTAATTGCTGTAAATGTCATTAAGAATCTTAGACTAGAATCTCCTAGTGTCCATGACAAAAGATCTGTACAAATACTACAGGTATTTTTTTTATAAGAATAAAATAATTTATGAGTGGATGATTACAATTCACAAAACAATGAAGCGTGTCATACAAGTGAAAGAAGTCCTGTATGATGCAGTGTGTCATTTTAGACAGACAATCATGCATAATTATGAAAAAAAAATTGTTAAGTCTTGAATCTCATTTTTTTTTTTTGCAAACATATTTCTATGTATTTTAGTCAGCCATGCAGGGAATTATCTGATGGATGTCATGGTAATGTTTTTGATGCTATATACATGTAGATGTACATACTGTTGTCTGCATTGTTTATTATGCAATGTCAGTATTATCTTATTATAGACCATCTCAGGGTTGGGGGAAATTTTTAAACCAGTTTTTAAAGAGTCTAGAATTTATCACATTGAACTATTGCTGAAATTTTGATATCGTTACTTGCAGTCTTTTACAATTGCCTTGTAATGGTCTCACCTAACCTCTTTGTGCCTGCTGGCACTTAAAGCCCCCATCTTCTTGTAATGGTTTAGTGCTGCATTTTACTTTGCCATATCATAATTATTATTTTTTAAAATGAATCTCTGTAGATGGACCCCACAAATTATGGTTACATTTTTCAATTTTCGTTTTGAATGTTCTGAAAATCTATGTAAAGTGGGGAAAAATGGAAACTGTGGAACCAATACTTGTATAATGCCAATTTATATTGTATTCCTGGGTAAATTTCGCTGGTGTAAAAATTCAACTGCTGTAAATTGAAAAAAAGAGAACATATTCCATAAAAATGTTCTTTAATTTTTGTAGGTACAAATATTAGTTATGTTCTGTATTGATTATAAGAAATTATGTTTTGGCTGATCAATAATCAGTCATCAAACTTGCGCACAGCAAAATCATAAATTTTACATTTTAAAGGAGTGGAATTTTGAGTACACTATATTTAAAATATTTACTGGATGTGTTAAATGCCTTTTTGTGTTTTATTGACATGACATATTTTTATAGTTATTTACTTTATAGGCATTATTAATGATGAATTTTTTGTTTCTTTTTTTATTGATTTATTTAATACTCAGTATTAAACAGTAAAATATATTTTTAACAAAGACAGATACAATAAAACTGCTTTATAGAATTAAAATGAATTAAATGCATAATCCAATTAAAAATCTCATATATGGTAAACTTAATTGTTAAGCCAATATTAATGTTTTTGTTTTGCAACCCACTGACAAAAATCACTATAAATATTTTACTTCAATCATTAAAATTTTTACCCTCAAGTTTCTAATGAGAGAATAAATTACTGGGGTATATTCTGACAAACTAAATACTAGTAATACTAGTCCCCCCCCCCCCCCCCCAAAAAAAAAATCTTTAATACTCACCACATACATGTGGGTAAAAATTACAAGTTATCAAAGAAAAACAAAAAAAAATAATTAGGGTCGCAGAGAAAAATTGAATTTTTGTATCTTGAGAAGCTAAAAATTGACAAACTACTGGTTTAATCTGAAAAGAATCTCAGAATCACTGATCAAATCAGCATCAGTATTAATGCATTTATTTCAAACCAAATATATTCTTTACATTGTTTAATGTATATTGATTCCTTATAGAAAGATTTTGCCATGAGTATACTTGGAAGTTATTTTTCCGTTGTAAGATTTTGTTTGCTGATTAAGTTTAACATAATAAACTATTGTTTGAATTATTTGTGCTAGTTCTATAAATACATTACACAGCTTTTCCCCATCATTATGTCGGTGACCATTATGTCTCTTTATTTACCAGATGGAACCTCACATTAATTTTTGTCTCATAACTTCATCTTTTAATTGTTCTACTGTAATATGATTTTACTATTGCCAGTGTGTTTGCTTTATGATATTTTGTGTTATATGTTTTTGGAAAACATTTCCAATCCGGAATGAGGCTGTCCAGTTACAGATACTTAATAGTTAAGAGTTTTGCTGTATCATTAGTATGTGAGTAACAATGGAAAGCTCTATGTATTTTATTAAAAAACAAAGTTCTTAAAATGTTTTCCGTTATTTATACTTTAATCTTATTTTCTGCTCTGTTAGGAGGATTAACTGTTGGAATTTCCACACATGAAACAGATACATTTATATAGTTAGAAGTAAAGACACACTTATCCAGAGGCTTAAATAGTGACGCAAAAAACAAAAAAAAATTAATCTTTCACCCTATAAAGTAAATTTTGAAGGTCTTAAATTTACACATTTACCTTAATAGACTTTTAGAAGGCTACGATAACCCATTTAGAAACTACGTCAATACTTATCGGTAATTCGACTAGATTGCAAAGAGTTACCAATATTACCCCCTAAGATGAGGAACGCAAAACAAAATTAATTCCTTGATCCATACAGATCTGCTGTACTTCGTCTGTCCCTGCATAAGGGTAATATCAATATCGAATTTTATATTTAGAGGAAAAGAGCGCTCTTGAAAGGGAAGAAGGGCAGTATCTTTTTTGACATATTTTATTTTATGAAATAAAATCTGCGATATTGATAAAATGAAATACGAAAGAAAAGTCAGCAGTAATGGGAGCCTCCCCCCCCCCCCTCCAAAAACAGGTTGCAGTCACGTTCTTTTCTTAACATGTCAAGGTATTTTGGTTTGTTTATTTCCCCATTCCTTATCTGATAAAGCTTTCTTTGGACTTGTAAGGACTACACAAAAGCAGACATGCAATAAACCATTTATTATTAACACGTACAACAAATCGAGTAACGGCATTATGTTAAGGACAAACGCAACGTACATGTACTTTACATACGCAGCGTACATGTTCTTTACATAAGCAGCGTACATGTGCATGTACATTCTCACTGAAAATTTTCCAAGGCATTCTTAATTTAAATTCATAGTACTATCAGATGTTCTTAGACACAAAAGCAGCATACATTACCAGGAGTTTTGAACAGATATCAAGTGATGAAAATCCTTGTATTTTATTTTTAAGAATAATTAGCAAAAGTATAGTTTTAGCTGGTATTCCCTATAAATTTGATCCAGAGAAAGTTTACAGCATTACCAGACTTCATAAAATCGCACAAAGGTCCTTCAATTATTGGAACTCTTAAATTATACAAGGACTTCAAAACTACGTTGCGTTTGTCCTTCAAGACTTGCGTTTGTCCTTAAATTAAATATCAAGATCAGTTGGAAAAAATCGAAAATACACCGGTTAAAATGCATTTATACCTCAAATCAATGACCCGTATTTTAAAAAAAAAATCGCTTTCTTCACGTAATGGACATTAAACGTCATGAGCCGGAATACGAAGATACCGACAAGACGACATTTCTTTATAAAGACCCTTTTCCTGTGGCGTTTCTGGTTCCTCGTCTTGCATTTCTTCTTTGAGTTCTTTAATGCTGTGGGTCATCAATTTTGCAAAGTACTTGAACTTGAGCATCCCCTTGTTAGATTGTGACATTCGACGAAGAGCTTTCTTTTCCAAACTGTTTTTATCCATTTCTTTGAGAAGTCCAATTGTGTGAAAACTTTGACTTCTTGCTCTTAAAAATGGTTGTGGATCTTCCTTAATTTTGGGAAATTGCGTGTGAGAGCGCGTCAGACCAACCAAGCTTTTGCTCCGGTTTCGGAATGTTGGAATATCGTTGGCTTTTATCTGTTCGCCCTTGTGATGTCGCATGATGCCATCGACACTATCGCTTCGTTCGCAAGGAGTAGGTGTTCGATCAGTTACGGAGGAAGCTTCACTCATTGAATTACTTTGCCAAGTGAAAACTGCGTTTTCGTTAATGTCTGGCAGAGACAAAGACAAAGGTTTCACCGTCATCACTTTTGTCTTTCCCTGCGTCCTTTCTGTTGAATGCTTCTTTGGTACTCTTTCGGCGCCATTGTTATACTCCTCAGCCTCACTTTCACTGCAAAAAGCGTCATCTGGTGAATAAAAGGTGCTCTCTCGTTCTAGTTTCACTGTTGGAAGATGTACCTCTATCTTAATTCTTCCTTCTTGAGAAGATTCGTTGATGCCATTTTTCTCGGTGGATGGACCTTTTTTGCGGTCTTTTTTAGTTCTAAACAAATATTTGTGATACTTTCTAACGACCATCCGCTTGTCGATGCGAATTTCTTTAATGCGTCTTTCCATTTGTTCTTGTATTTCCTCTTTGTCTTTCTGTAAGTGAAACTGTCTATGAACATCCATGGTGTGCATTCTTCTATAGTCCGTCACGGTCTGAAGACGTCGCAGCATTTCCGACGCTTCCAGTTTTTCGGCAAGTACTTCCAACTTCTTCATCCTTTTTCTTCGAAGTTCTTTCAAGGTTGTGTAAGGAACAAGTCAGAGTGTTCTCTTGATCAACAAAATCGGCGTGGAGTTAAGATGTTACTTACGGGATTACGTTAAGGCGGATTAAAAATAGCTAACTATTAAAAAGTTTATTTTACATTCACTAGTTAAATTCAAAGCCATCTGATGTGATTTAATTTTTACGATATTCAAAGCATTGCAAAATTTAAAAAAGTTCTGATTCTAACTAGTATTATTAACTGAATTATTTTTAAACGGATTATCTTAAAACACATGTTTTACTAATAAGTCTAAGGGCAAACTTAATCTCTTCTATCAGCATGATAGAATAAAGTGTATCAAGGATCTGTACCCCCTTTTTTGAAAGACTGGTCAACATTGGGAATAAGTGCACGTTGCATCCACACTGCATGTTAACCAACAATTACGTGGTTGCAATATGAGTTAATGCAAATTTACTATTAACATTGTTTTATAGTGCTTTGCAGAAGACTTCGCTCATGGCCGTATCTTCTAGTTCTCCGGAAGAAACTCGGTTTCGAAATATATATATATATATATATATATATATATATATATATATATATATATATATATATATATATATATATATATATATATATACATGTATATATATATATAATTTGTGTAATGAAATACTAGTAATAGTATTATAACTCCAGTGAACAGTTAAACGACCACTTTTGGTTTTGAGGTCATAAGGTCAAACACCAAGGTTGGACTTTCATATATTGCATAAAATGGTTTTCAGATGCTAACTTTAGTTCTCTGAGCTTTTCCAATGAAATGTTATATCATAACTCCCTAGAACTTAAAAAAAGGGGGAAAAAACTTGATTTTGAGGTCAAATGATCAAACGCCTAGGTTGGACATTCATATAGTGTATACAAGCTTATCTTTTAAAAAGATAGGTGAGCTAGCGCTGTAGCTATCATAAACCACAGAATGAGGTATCTAAATTATTGGATTAATTTGCTGAATCGATTAAGGGGACGACCATTTGATTCTGAGGAGGGGGGGGGGGTTCGGGTGGGGGGTCTGGCAAAATTTTTCGAGTAAGATTAATTATCTTCATGCCAGTCAAGGACAGATTATTTATTTTCAAGATGATCAAGGTCAGATTATTTATTTTCTTCTTCATTGAAAAAAACAAAACAAAACAAAAACAACAAAAAAAGTTCAAACGGGGACGGGGGGGGGGGATAAGAAGTAATAGTCAAGGACAGATTATTTATTTTCTTGCCGGTCGTGGAAAGACAGTTATTTATTTTCAACTTTTTGAGGACAGATTATTTATTTCCAAAATCTGCCCCCCCCCCTCAGAATCAAATGGTCGTCCATAATTATTAATAGGAAGACACAGTGGTACATGTACACTGGAGGTGGCGTTGGGGGAATGTGTCTTAATTCAGAATGGTGAATCTAGAGTGGGTTTTCACATTGGCAATGGCATGAATCATTAACTGTGCTTTAAGCATTCTGTAGTTTACTGTAATTTCAATACTGAAGTGAAAAATAAGAGATAAGTAGAAGCAATGAACACCTAGTTTAAAAATATTCCAGTGTGGTACTGTTTTGTAGCAATCGCATCCTTTCGGGCCTTTCCGGCAAGCTCGGAAAACATATCCGAGGTTGTTTTTCCGAGCTTGCCAGAAAGATCCAGGAAGATAGTTAAAAATAGCTAGTTTTTTTTATTATAGTTTTAAAAATTATAACTGATCTGTACAGTTTTGGCAGTCACTGTTACCTTTTGTACATTTATTTAAGATTAGACAACAAAACACGAA